TACCTTTTGAATATGACATAAAATATTTAGAGTTGTTAATTAATTAATTTCTTTCGACAAGGTCAATAATGTTTTTTTTGTACTTACAAAATGTATTAATATCGGTTATTTGTTCTTTTGAAAATCATGACGGTTGATTTATTTTTGGTCTGCCATACTGACCTTAGTGAGTTTTGGCGTACTCGTGTATCATATATGACCGATATGCATATGTTTAGTCTGGGAGAACATGATTTATTTATAAGTTGTTATTGACTTTGAAGTACTCTTATTTCGGTGCTTTGTTTCTCCTATTTTATGCAAGTAGTTTTTGTGCCTCGTACCGATTTTTTTAGTTGAGCTTATATTGCTACTGAATTTTACAATTTGTTCTTTGTTGTGCTATCACATCACTGTCTCAAGTTAGGGGAGGGTTGAGCGCTCACAAACATGTTTAACCCATTACACTACATTTGTATGTGCCTGTCCCAAGTCAGGAGCCTGTAGTTTAGTGGTTGTCGTTGGTTCGTGTCTGTTATATTTGTTTTTCGTAAATTTTGTTATAAAGTAAGCCGTTGGGTTTCTTGTTTTGAATTGTTTTGCGTTTTTCATGTCAGGGCCTTTTATAGCCGACTATACGTTTTTTCTCATTGTTGAAGGCCTTTGATTGCTTACATCCACTTCATTTGAACTCTGATGGATAGTTGTCTCGTGAGCAATCATACCACACCTCATTATTTTTTTACAAACAGTTCAGTATTATTACTGGAGACTAAATGCAGGGTATACCGTATATGTAATCTAAGGAAGAATGATAATCTGGTTGTTTCTTGATACCTAACACCGAGTTACCAACGTCATCAGGTTTACTTTTCTCACTTTAGGGTGTGCGCATGTACGTTTAAGAATTTTAATAAACGGTGCTATGTTGACACTACAACAATTTAATTTAATTTATTTAAAAGTCAACAGCATCTTGAAGGTATCAAGACTAACTGAAGTCATCGACTAGGGTAAGGCGTTCCATTCCCCGATGGCTCGTGGGTAGAACGATTATTCCTTGTCAAGGTGTAACAGACTGGCATCTTACAAGGTTTTGCTCATAAATCTTGGACATTTTATCTGGTGGTATGAGCTTATGTCCTGAATTGATGTTTACTTCTTGGTTGCTGATCATATATGGAATTGTGAATCGTCCATTTTCCCGTCCTTTCCTCTAGACTTGTTCTATCATGATCACTTTACAGATAGTATATTGGGGTACTGGTTTGATACCATACAAATGTATTTTGGTGATCTTCTTTGTACCATTTCTCAATTTGAAGGTGCGGAATATGTTCTAGCATTCACAGTAAACTGTTGTTGGTCTTACAAGGGAGATGTAGATTTTTTCTTCATATCGCTGCTCGTGATGTTATGATTTTTTTAAGGAATCCGATTGTTTTGTTGGCTTTTGGTCATAAGTTTGTGATATGATTTTCCAACTTAAGGTAAACTTATCGATCCTTTAAATAAACTTATTCTAAAAGGTTACCAATTCAACACTGTAATTAGATCTTTGAATATTATTTTTATTGGTAAAAATATTGATTTTGTTATCAGTAAATTAAAATCAAACTTAATATTATTTTTATATACATATGCACATTCATGGCTCTACAATCTGTCGATACCTGTATCTTGGCATTGCCCAAGGTCATAATTTTAAGACGTCATTACACTAAATCCATTGGATGTTGGATGTGTACTGATTGATATTTAAGTCTCAGATGCATGGTTTTTTCATTAGATGTTTTTGGCTTTGAACTACCTGTCAGTAACTGCGAGTACTCTCAGATCTGTACTTGTGTCTTTTTTGTTGTGGGGATGTTTAAATACCCTGCAATGTCCGATCTGTGTTTTTGTTAGATGTTTTTCTGCTTTGTATCGATCTGACGAGTTAAGCCCTTTTCAACTGATTTTTGTCGTTTGTTCTTATGTTGGACTGTTACACCACTATCCCAGGTGTGGAAAGGGTTCGGCGCCAACAAACTAGTTTAACCCCACCACATTCTCTATGTGCCTGTCCCAAAGTCAGGAGCCTGTAATTCAGAGGTTGTCGTTTGTTGCTGTATATCATATATGTTTTTCGTTCATTGTTTTGTACATAAATCAGGCCGTTAGCTTTCTCGTTTGAATTGCTTTACATTTGTCATTTCGGGGCATTTTATAGCTGACTATGCGGTATGGGTTTTGTTCATTGTTGAAGGAACAATCACAAATGCGTATGGCCAATCATTCTTCCCAACGCACCATCAGGGATTTGAATTGTAACACCGATAAGGGATTCAAAGCTGTCTCGAAGGCATACTCTGAAAGAAATTAGACAACACTATCATGTTCATAGTTTTTATAGTAAATTGGATTGTTTTAACTCTAAATAGCCTGTAGAATACTTGAGTGTTGTCCGACACTATGCGAAGTTTTTCGCGGGGAACCATTTACATTCAAATTGAATTCCGTGTCTTACATTGAAAAGGAGACATTTTTTTTTATAAATACATGAGGTTTTTTTTATTTACATATCTTTCGATTCATAATATAATGAAACTCATCCCAAAGATCTTTAGAATCACACAATTTAGAAGTTCGTCTATCTCGCTGAATATTTTTCCATCTCCTTATCTCAATGGGTAATTTATGATTGGTGGCTCCAAATTAAAGCATAAAGTGTAAATATCGCGAAATTTTAAAATATCAAAAAAGTTTCTCAAAAGTGTCCTTAAAAAGATGATAATTCAATGTCTTCGAGCATGTTTGCACATTTATAAACCATGTTTGTTGAAACTGATCTTGGATTGATCTTTAACCAAATTTCATTTATACATGTTTGAGATAACCACACAAAAGATAATCCAGTTTCATAAAAAAAAATTCTACATACTTTAACCAACTAAAATTTACACAATTTTCATTTGACAGCATATATAAAGTGGTTTAAAATGATGGCTGATACTTTAGTTGGTTTGCCACATACTATTTTCACCTAAATTGAAATCAGACGGACTTTAATATCTAAATAATCTAAACCGCTTAAGTTCACCATATATTACACAATTTGGAGTAGAAGATTTATGTGCAGAAGAACACGTACACAGTTTTAATTGAAATCTCTCCAGATTATCGTTATTCCCAAACCCCCTTTCACAGCCATACAATAAGATGGATTTCATAATGTAACATTTTGTAGACTAATTTGTTTGTTCATCTTTTCTGTTTATGGTCATGGTGTTCTTAGTTTTTCTCCGATTTATGGATTGTATTGCCTCTTGGTATCTTCTTTCTCACTTTTTTGTCGAGACTGCAGCGACATTGATGTAACGCTTCGCGATCCCACATTCTGTCGTCGGCGGTGGTGTCGTCATTATTTAGGTTCAGTCTGGTTTTTAGATATCATTAACTTTGTTAACCTTCATGGAATTTTTATGAAACTTGGACATATGCTTCTTTAAGACCTGAAGAAAATATCCAGTGCATTTTCCCGTACTTTTCTGATAAATGGACTCCGATTTCTTTACAGGTAATATTTAGATACAGTCTAAAGTTGAAGTTTTTCAGTCATCAATAACTTAGTCAAATCTTCATGGTTTTAATTAAATTGGACAGAAACTTTAATATGATCAAAAGACAGTTTCCACAGTAAGGAAAATATATTTATTTTGCTGTATTTTACTGATGACTTTTTGGCAGTTAAAATGCAGAGTCTGGTATTAAGTTTCTTAGACATCAATTACATTGTCAAACTTCATAGAATTTATCTCTGTATCGATCGTTCCAATTTTAGTACATGTACTGCCGAAGCGAGTTTATGAAATTTAAAAGAAGCTTTTTTATGATTAAGAGATAATATCTGATGCAAAAATTTGAAATTGTTTTTTTCATTTTTCAGTATTTTACTGATAGATGTATACCACATATTTATTTTTTTGCAATCAATTTTTACCGAGTCTGGCCAGGATTACATTTTTTGACATGATAAATTTGTAAAACTTCATGTATTGTTATGAAACTTGGACAGAAGCTAATCTTCAAGATCAAGAAATGGGATATGAAAGAAAAGTCTGATTTAAAAAATCTGTATTTTACTGATAAATAGACTTACTTTTTAGTCAACATTACACTTTTACACTGACAACAGCAATCACAGGCGAAAAACGTGAGCAGAGAGAGACATATATGTCTCTGGTATATATGAGAATTCTACGGAACCCTCCACGAATTTTTTTGTACAAAGAAGGGGGCAATTCGGTGGACAATGAAGTTGGTACTCACGGGAGGAATGTTTTGAGAAAAGCGATTGTTGAGCGATTGTAATCTTTAAAATTAAGAGATTCTCAGCTTTTGAAAGTTAATTTAGTAATTATGAGTCAGGACTTGAAGTTAAGACTTTTAGTAGTTTGCAATAGACAGTACTTCCCCAATATATTACTTTTTTCTCTTAACTCGTGCTACCCTTTTTAACTTTTTAGAAGCATATACGTACTTGGTGCATCAAACTAAAGGAGTCATTTGAATAACTTGTTTTTTTCAAACAGATTGACATACCCACATACAGCCTCGACTGTATAATCATGAAAAGTGAAATCCCTGTGTTTAGATGTATGAATACATCTCAATGAGTATTCCTTGTATGTTTCACTCACATGGTCAAAATAAGAAAGTTTGTTCAAACCCACTGGTATCTTAATATTAAAGAGTCTTTATAATATATTTAAACGTTTTTTCTGCAATTTTACAATATACAATATTGAAGAAATTACCAGTCCCCACTATCCACTTGGGACAAACGAAAGTGATTTTATTTGGGGGGGGGGGGGGGGAGGGGGGGATTTTAAGACGAGATTTTACATGTTATGTACAGACATCAAGCTTTTCGAAAGATATCTTGAAAATTGCTGTGGGTGAAATATTTACTAGGGAAATTTGCACCTACCTCTATGTGAATGTACTGCATGGCACTATGAAAAAATACCCTGAATGCACACATCTTTATATTATTTATTTGCTGAATAACCAACATAAACAAATATTCATGGAAATGAATATAAACGTAACACAGGTAAATTTATTTTATTCACATTTTTAACAAGCTCTGTCAATATAAATGCTATGTATTATATCATGAACCAACATATAAAGTTTCATGTAGATATATTGTGTTAACACCATTTTTCCCTTTCTCCATCCTTTCTACAGAGAAAAAATACAAAGTATAAACAATTTAAATTCTAACTTTGCATGGGCTCAGGATTTCAGAATTACCTACCAACTAGAATGAAAGTGACAACATGCATCCAAAATATACGCTTGACACAGCACCATATCATAATACATCATATATGATAAGTTGTCTAAATACTACTGGAAGTGTATGATTGCTATTGTAACATTTCCCCATATATCAATGCTATCATAAGTACATACTTCTGCATCAATTGCAGTGGCGGATGCAAAGGGGGGGGGAGTCTGGGGGTTGGAACCACCCCTTTTTTTTGACGATCAATGCATTTGAATGGGGACATATAGTTGGAACCCCCACCCCCTTAATAAATGGCTAGATCCGCCCCTTATTTGAATTGAAACTAATCAGACTTGTTGAAATGTGGATGGTGACAACAGTCACTGTACTGTACACCAATAATATAATTTGACTCTCAGACATAAGATAGAATCAGCATTTCTGTTTAGGCCTCCTTTTATGTTAGTAAATCATGTGCCATGGCAATAGAAATCAGTTTAGTACATAATATTTTAAGTCTTTAAGAGCAGGAAAACTCAAATGTAAGCATTCCATTGTAATGAAACACATGTAGGATGCAAAGATGAAATTTTGACACTGAAATGCAAGCTGAGGGATGGTCTACAGCCAATTGTGATGGTCCATTTACTGATGTTTAGCAATATTTGTCACACCCAACAGTATATCATTATCATATAGTTTCATGGTGAATGTCAGGCCACAGTTGCAGTACCGGTGCATGTCTTTTATGCTGTCTTTATGTCTAGTCTAATTGATTTATATATAAATCATATAAATCAGCTGTGTTTGATATTTTCCGTTAAATATTCATCAACAAACAAGATCAGCCTGTTGTTGTGATTTAGAGAGAAGTTTTACCTACGTTTAAAGGTTCATTCTCTATTTTGTATTGAATCTGATGAAGGTCTACTTTTCATATTTCCTAGCCTTGCAATTTAGGCGTCTTGTTTTTTTTAAACCATACAGTTAATATATGCAGCTTAGACCCTTCTTTCACGATAAACCACAATCACAAACTATTATAACAATGTTAACAAATCAAGATTGTGTCAACAGTCAATTTCTTCAGAGTAAATATTGCACTTGAAAATCTATTTAACATTGTTGCATGAATACATGGAGATAATGATAAATTCCTCCATGAAATAAAGTAAATCATTGCACTTAGCAGGATTCTCAACATACTTCAGCATACCATTAATTTTGTTTGCATCACAATGTCAATTTAACATATTGGTAGATCAAGATTTTGGGAAGTTATGGAGGTGTGATCCTCCTTTCTCTTCAGAATTGTTTTTTTTTAATCACATAAAAGTTGATGATTTTTGGGCTGAAATACCCATTTTCCCAGGTGAAGACCAAAAGACCCCCCCTCCCCCTTTTCTTTAAAAAAATCTGGATATAAGCTTGGTAGTGCTTCAGAATGCTCAGCAATCAACAACTGGTTCCAAGTCTAAAATATATGTCATTGAACTTGTTATGATGGTAGATGTAATGCAATGATATTCTAAATCTATATGATAGAACAATATGAAAAAGACAAGTCATGATTATCTTTAATACAAAATGATGAGAAGAACAAATGTATACAAAGAATAAATCAATAAACAAACACATGTTAATTCTATTTTATTCATCTTTATTACTCTCTTCATTTATTAAAGAATTGTCTTGTGTTTCACCTTGAACCCACATTAAGGGGTCAAATTGTTTTTCTTTATTTTTTTCTTGCGTGCCTAGTGAATATCTAATTTGAGTCTTCACAAATCTTCTTCTGGCATTAACAATACCAATATTTTCAATGGATAATGAGTTAGAAGTGCCGTAAGCACCTAGTCCAGCTGCCTTGTCGACACGAATGTTAACTTCGATCTGAAAAATTAAATTCAGATTTAAAACAATTTTTTACTGCAAGTATTTTTTCCATTCATATGAATGAAAAGAAATATGGGATGCATTACTTGACAGCAACTTAGCATGGCAAGTTGAATTGACAACCAGAGGTCATCATATGGTCACTAATAAATGTCTTTTAAATCACATCTAAAATAGAGCAGTTTTGCAAAATACTCTTTCAAGAAACAATGAGAAGTACAACTCCTTCGTTAACAGTATAATGTTTGATTTTATCAGCAATTTTTGGCATTTTCTCTTCAATCAAGGCAAATTATAAATAAGAAATACACCAAGAATACCTAGCATTGATTAACTTGACGAAACACAATTCAAGATATATTCAAAATCAATTTAAATTTCATATCATCCTGTAATTTTTTTTAAAGATAATTGGTACATAAATAAATAACTGTATCTGGGTCAAATATAGGAAAATTTCAGATAAAGTAAGAAAAATGTGATAAATGTTTATAAAATATATATGAAACCATTATTGCAAAACATATTAAAATTTAAAAATCTCTTGGTTCTCTTTAATCTTAACAAAAACAAAGACAGTTAAATCTCTGCAGCATTCTTTTGTAAAAACATAATAGATAATTGTTGAATTTGGAATTTTTTTTAAATTGAATACTTGCATTTGTAAACATTATCAGGGCAATCATTACAATAACTTTTCAATGATAAAGAATTCATGAATCAAAATATTATTTCACTTAAAAATGCTCTATTATTCAAAAGTAAACATTATCTTTCAAAGAATTTAACATTAATCTGTATAACTGTTCACTTAACTCTTTTATAAATTCTAATACCTGAGGAATTTTCGAGGACAATCATATTGATAAAGGTATGACTATTTGTAGTTCATGTCACAGGTATCAGAAGGCATTTCCAGGAGGGGCTTAATTCTACCTAGTGGTAAATACTGCTGAGTGTAGCAAGGTGAAATGTTTATTGATAATGAATACAACAATCCAGACTGGTGATTTAAGTTAAGAAATGTCATTTGTGATGTCATTGTCTGTTGGACATCCTAAACCTGACAAAGTTAACACAATTGACCAAAAATGGCAATTTATATGAATTCTGGTTAAATTAAATATGAGTAATAGCTTTATCAACATCTATATTTATGTGATATCATAAATGTTAGGAGGAACAGTAAAAAATATTTCTAGGTTGGATGTTTTGAAGAGGTGGATCAAAAAAATTTATACACAGTTATTTTAAAAAAATGAAGTATGGTAAAACCAGAGTGCCAATCAAACAGTTAAGAAACTGTTAGTTTCCTTCTGATACATATATGTATTTGGTTAACTATAGGTCTGTTCAAATTCAATATGGCAAATCTGTATGTAGATCTATATGGTCACAACTACTGAACATATTCATTGGCTATGGTAGCAATAGCCAATACACATCTGGCCAAATAAAGATTGACAATTCATTATATATTTGATTTTATTGAAGCTGTAACTCACTGGATCCTGAATTCCTGCATTATCTTTACCCAAACTTTCACCCTCTGTCCAACCTAACTTCTTTAGCATCTTGTGGCCTTTGTTGTCTCCATCTATTCTTCTGTTAAAATAAAGGGATAAGAAACCATTTATTGGATACCAAGTCTACAAGTTACATTCTCTTTCAAAATTAATTACAGTATTTGCTAAAGATGCACAAGTTATTTTCTCTGTCCTTCCCACTTTCTTGTGAAGTAAACTACTTTTTCATTTTCAGGTTAAAGATTTTTTCTTCTTTATAAAATGACTGTAAACCATATCTATATCTGTAAATGTGTCTATTAATTTAGAGGTAAGCATGTCATGCAAAATGTGAAATTTCAATTGCTTAGGGTCGTATAAAAACTTAAAAATTTAATACAAAATGCAAGTGTTTTGACTGTAGATCAGCACCAAGAAAGATAAATCTGAAATGATCTTGAAAATTAATAAAATTTATATGCATGGCATAATCACCATCCTTACATGAATGTTGTCCTATTAAAAAAACCGGATCTACAAGCTAATAAGGATGTTCGCTACAATCTTTTTAAATGACTGCTATAAATTGATAGTATATACATAAGGGAACTAAATGTGGCGGCCATCTTGGTTGATGGGCGGGGTCATCAGATACATTTTAAAACTAAATACTCTAAGGATGATTTAGGCCAAGTTTGGTTTTATTTGGCCCTGTAGTTTCAGAGGAGAAGATTTTTGTAAAAGTTAACGGACAACGACAAGGACAGACAACATCAACGGATGCCAAAGTGATGAGAAATTCTCACTTGGCCCTAAAAAGCAGAAAACAATGCAAGGTTTGTGTCCTTGTTTTTGAGATTAAAGCCATTGAAAATTTGGGCGTAAATGATCCTCTCTAGACTTTTCATATGATTAACATTGGTACCTTTTTTCTTTCAAGATATTTCTTGAAAGAAAAAAGGTACCAATGTTAATCATATGAAAAGTCTAGAGAGGATCATTTAAAATATGAAAAAATAAAGAGGATTTTATGAGATTTTCAAAATTGACTTTTTAAACTATATGCAATAAAACTATGAAAATAAAAGTAAGAGTAAGTGGGCAAAATTTATTAATGGAACACATGGATAAAACCAGAGGATTCCCAATATCTGATAAAAATTCAAAAACAAGACAAGCGAACATCCTTAAGTCTCATTTACTGTACTTTTAAGCCTTTTGTTAACTTAAAAGTATTGTCTGATTGGTAGTCAGCGGGAATTTTTGAAAGTTCAATAAAACAAAACAACCTCAATATAAATAAAATGCTCCGCAGGGCGCAGCTTGATACGACCGCAGAGGTCGAACCCTGAACAGTTGGGGCAAGTATGGACACAACATTCAAGCTTGATACAGCTCTGAATTTGGATTGTGATTAAATATTTGACACAGCATAGGTTTCTGACACAGAATGAATGTTGTCTAAGAACTTAAAAATTTTAAATTGGACATTCACCTATTATGGTCTAATATCCAAAATCTAAATACATGGTTAGATTCAGCATATCAAAGAACCCCAAGAATTCAATTTTTTATGAAATCAAACAAAGTTTAATTTTGGACCCTTTTGACCTCAATGTGGACAAAGTTGATAACGGGGCCCAAAAATCAAAAATCTAAATACATGGTTATATTCAGCATATCAAAGAACCCCATATATTCAATTTTTGTTGAAATCAAACAAAGTTTAATTTTGGACCCCGATTTGGACCAACTTGAAAACTGGGCCCATAATCAAAAATCTAAATAAATGTTTAGATTCAGCATATCAAAGAACCCTAAAAATTCAATTTTTGTTAAAATCAAACTAAGTTTAATTTTGGACCCTTTGGACCTTAATGTAGACCAATTTGAAAACGGAACCAAAAATTAAGAATCTAAATACACGGTTAGATTCGGCATATCAAAGAACCCCAATAATTCAATTTTTGATGAAATCAAACAAAGTTAAATTTTGGACCCTTTGGACCTCAATGTGGACCAATTTAAAAACAGGGCCCAAAATCCAAAAACTTAATACACGATTAGATTCAGCATATTAAAGAACCCCAGGAATTCAAGAATAAAACCCCATTGAAATTGATCAAGAAATAAGCAATTTATACGAAGTATCTTCTTTTGTGCAATTGAATATTTCTTGCTATTGCGCAATACTGTACAATTGACAATTTCTTACTATTGCGCAATATTGTGCTATTGGATATTTCTTGCTATTGCGCAATACTGTGCAATTGAAGATTTCTTGCTATTGCGCAATACTGTGCAATTGAAGATTTCTTGCTATTGTGCAATACTGTGCAATTGAAAATTTCTTGCTATTGCACAATACTTATTATATAATAATTTGCACATCCTGTTTGGTGTGTATCTCCTACCATATCATTATTATTTGCTTTTAAATATTAATCAGAAATAACCAACTTAAAATGGAAAATTTTAAAAGAAAAAAAAAAGAAAAAAAAAAAATCCCCCCCCCCCCCCAAATTTTTTGAACCCCCTTATGATTCATCACCCCCAAACTCAATCCCAGCCTTCCCTTTGTGGTATGGTACCTTGCAGTACAATTTCATAGAGATCCATACACTTGAACACAAGTTATTGTCTGGAAACTAGAAAAATGCTTATTTTTGGCCCCTTTTTAGCCCCCAATTCCTAAACGTTTCGGGCGGTTACCCCCAAACTCAATTCCAGCTTTCCCTTTGTGATATGGAACCTTGTAGTACAATTTCAGAAATATCCAAACACTTACACACAAGTTATTGTCATGAAACTAGAAAAATGCTTGTTTTTTGCCCCTTTTTTGGCCCCTAATTCCTAAAATTTTGAGGCAATTACCCCCAAAATCAATTACAGCCTTCCCTTTGTGATATGGAACCTTGTGGTACAATGTCAGAGAGATCCATACACTTACACACAATTTATTGTCTGGAAGTTACAAAAATGCTTATTTTTGGCCCCTTTTTGGCCCCTAATTCCTTAACTGTTGGTACCATAACCCCAAAATCAATCCCAACCTTCCTTTCGTGGTATTGAACCTCATGGTAAAATTTCATGGAGATCCATTCACTTAAACTAAAGTTAGAGTGCGAAAACCAATGTGTCGCCGGACAACGCCAGACGACGATGACGCCAACGTCATACCAATATACGACCAAAAAATTTTTAATTTTTGCGGTCGTATAATAAATAAATTACCTATGAACAGAGGATGGTTTATCATCTGCTTGGTGAGGATTGTCACTTCCAACTGTCCTTCTTCTTTCTGAGGCTTTGTCTTGATAGGCAGGATTATTTATTGCTGCTGCGTTGTCTGTGTATGATGAATTCTGTCATGAAAAATATAATATAAGATTACACTTATTATCATGCATTGTTGATGACTGATTGCTGATTTTTTTTCTTCTTACAATAACATTGATAAATATACAAAAAACAATATCCTAAAAATTATATCATGTACTCTCATTAAATTCAAAAAACAATTTAGCTAAGAGATTTATGATCATCAATGCCATTGATATTAATGAAGGACAATATATTTTAGAGAAAAAGGCTACATGATTCTATGATAACAAACAATCTACTTATAATGATTTTCCCAAGCTAATTTAGAGGCTCAAAAGCCTGTACTATCATCTTGTATATTTGCCAAAGAGGAAGGACCACTCTCACTGGAAATTTATTTTGCACTGGGCTATTTTCTTAAAGTCCTTCAATAGTTTCTAAAATTCATATAAAAGTTTCTAATGTGTTTCAACAATATTTTGGTGTATTCTAAACCTGTAAATTTCAAAAGATGGTATTACCTTGCAATTTTGATGGATTTTATCAAAATTTTGATTAATTATCCAAAAAATTATTAGGACATTCTTGAAATTTTGATACTATTGAAATATGTAAAATTGTTCATAACATTTTGATTACATTGTATAAGCTCCTTAATCCAGTTGGTTTCAACAACTTTCTAATTTTGACTCAGGGTGTGAAACAAATACAGGGGAAATTGGCACTATCTTTTTCAAATTAGCAAGTTTCCTACCAAATAAACATGATAAAACATTTAGAAATTGTTCAAGTATGGTAAAATTTTATCAAAATTTATTCCAAAGAAATTTTTCACATTTAAAAAAAAATTTCCTTACATTGTGATAAAAATCTGCCCTTTATGAATTTTATTCTGAATTTTCTCTATTTTTAGAGATTGTGATGATTATGTTTGAATGCACCTAAAGTCATCAATACTTATTTTGTATCACTATCCCTAAATTTACCATTATTCACCCAAAATACATGCAGAATTTTTGAAACTACTTTTTGTTGTACACATATTTTTTTTTACTTCTGTATAGATTATACAGAAATATAAAACATAACAATTCTGATAAAAAAAAATAAAAAATAAAAATTTCTCTGAAATCCTTTAATTACAGAGGAATTGCAGATCGTGTGAATACAACAGTGTGCAATGTTCAAACAAACACAAAATTACTATAATGCCTACCTCTACATTAAATAGGGGAAACATGATCAATACTGAATATTATTGATTCTTTATTCTTCTACATAAGGTCAACACTGTTATAGCTTAAAGAAATCAATATTCATCACAATATACAAGTGGTTTTATTTCAAGAGATACATGCATCAGATATAATCCTTACCGTTAATCCATATTTCTTCTTTATATTTTTGAGTTGTTCTCTATGTTGCTTCTTCTTGTCCTTACTATCTGTTGTAGATGTCATGGCTGTAAATATACAATCTACATCTATAAAAACTTCATTCTCTCATATTCATATCATAAACATTATAAAGATTTATGAATAAAGAAACAATATCAATTTTCTATTTTAACAATGAAACATCATTAACACCCTAAGAACACAATTTTCTATCTAATCCCGGTATTCTAAGATGTATTTTAACCCACAATGAAACTGTTATTACACAGCTGTCTCTATCCACTGCATAATGGAGTTGTATATCATGCCAAACTGTCTTATTTTTATTTCCTCTCTTAATATATATATATATATATATATATATATGTGTGTGAACATTAAGTAAGATGGACCTGTCTAGAATTTTATCAGTATAGATATTTTTTCTGTGTTCTATATAACATTGTTAACATCAAGTCAGCTATGCAGTGGCAAGATTAGTGTTCCCTGTAACATTTACTGTCTTGTTTACTTGCTATATTCTGGTTATCCCCTAATTTGAATAATTTTATTTCAAAGCTTGAAAGGTATGTATATTCTAGAATTTCAGAAACATAAAATTACCTGGAACTGTCTTTTGAACCACCACACCAGGTTCACATTTGTCACATGTGTCTGTTCCAGGATGAATGTGTAAATCAAATCTTGTACAACTCAGCTGTAATGTGTCTCCATGGTTTAATTGAACCCACTTACTAACATGTTTTGCCTAAATGAAAAAAACTCCTCATTTATCAATCAATATACTATGGATAAATATTTTGGTGGTATCAATTTTCGTGGATTGGGGAATAAACATATTCTCTAGGATATTTTATTTTGTTCTTATGCCAAAGTCTGCATATAAGTCTATAGAAATTTTGTACTTTGTTGAATATCTAAATTCAAAGTTCACCTTTAACCATAAAATCAACCATATTGGTATCCCACGAATAAATAATGAATCATCAGTAGTGTGAATATGTTTGTTGGTAAACTTATGAAACAACACAACAGTCCTGTGGCTTACAACATATCTACTACAAAGAGCTGTTGTAACTATCAATATGGCACAATTCCTATCAACAGAACAACTGAGACCTCTGTTTCCAAGATAAATGGCTGTTATTAAGGTGGATCATCGGTTATTATTCCCTCATATAGAAAATTTCTTATACTTTGTCAAAATGTAGATTTTACCATGCTTTTTATAAAAGTATAATAAACAAGGATGTGTCCATAGTACACGGATGCCCCACTTGCACTATAATTTTCTATGTTCAGTGGACCCTGAAATTGGGGACAAAACTCTAATTTGGCATTAAAATTAGAAAGATCATACCATAGGGAACATGTGTATTAAGTTTCAAGTTGATTGGACTTCATCAAAAACTAACTTGACCAAAACACCTAATATAGTTGACCTTTTGCATACAGTATTAGAAAAACAGACCAAAACACAAAAACTTAACACTGAGCAATGAACCGTGAAAATGAGGTCAAGGTCAAATAAAATCTGCCAGACTGACATGTACATTGTAAATTTTTTCCATACACCAAATATAGTTGACCTATTGGATACAGTATTAGAAAAATAGACCAAAACACAAAAACTAAACTATGACCACTGAACCATGAAAATGAGGTCAAGGTCAGATAACACCTGCCAGTTGGACATGTACACCTTACAATCATTACATACACCAAATATACATGTAGTAGACCTACTGCTTATAGTATCTGAGATATGGACTTGACCACGAAAACTTAACCTTGTTCACTGATCCATGAAATGAGGTTGAGGTCAAGTGAAAACTGTCTGACAGGCATGAGGACCTTGTGAGGTACGCACATACCAAATATAGTTATCCTATTACTCATAATAAGAGAGAAATTAAGAATACTAAAAATCTTAATTTTTTTTCAAGTAGTCACTGAACCATGAAAATAAGGTCAAGGACAATGGACATATGACAGACGGAAACTTAATATCATTAGGCATCTATATACAAAGTATGAAGCATCCAGGTCTTCTACCTTCTGAAATATTAAGCTTTTAAGAAGTTAGTTAACACTGCCACCGCAGGATCACTATCCCTATGTAGAGCTTTCTGTGACAAAAGTCACAGGCTCAACAAAAATGAAACTTCTTTCACATTCCTTTATTAAATTTTTACCATTAGAGTTATCTTCCTTTATATGGCTAAGATGAAAAATGATTTGAACAATAACAATTCTCGGTTTTTGTTAAAATAGTCTATAATGCAATAAATCACTTACTTTTCTACATTCAAATAAAAAGTCTTACACATAAATTGCCAATCCCTCACAAAATTTTCAGATTTAAGCAAAGAACTAGACCATTTGTGTATTGCTATTTTACAATCCAAGATGGCGGTATACAGTTAATCTACCTGAAGTTTTCTCACTCCTTAAATATTTGTTTGAACATTCAAATTCTTGGATAAGTTACTGTATAACTTATTTTGTTACAATAAATTATATTTAATGTGGACTGTGAGAAGGTTACTTTTTTGTATCAAGTGTTTTATCATTTATGTAACTTTTTAGTCCTTTTTCATAAGATTCAGTAAATATATGGTAATAACAGCTCCTCAAATTCTAAAATCAGACTGATCAATATCTTAAATGATCACAAGCTAAGTTTTCAAAAAGCACTTTATCGTAATGGAAAATTCTAAAATTTGACATACCCAAAAAAAAACAGAAATTTATTTAACCTTTTCACATGTATTCAGGGCTGTTCCATAAAACATACATTGGACCCAGGGAAGGCATTTTCAAATCTCCACTATGGGTGGGAGACAAGTAGAATGAAAATGTAAGTAAAATTCTAAATTTGCCTCTACAGGTTGTTACTTCATTTTGAAAGTGCCTTCCCTGTGTAACATGTATGTTTAAATAGAACAGTCTGAGTCCTGATTAAAACAGCTTTTTTTAATTCAGAATTTGTTTTCTACAAGACAATATTACCTCTGATATTCTTACTTCGTTGATGTAAGTACCATTTTGGCTGCCTTTATCTTGTATTGCATAAAACTGTTGTTTAGCATTATATCTTATTTCTGCATGTATCTGTAATAGAAATTTTCAGAAGAAATGAAGTAAATAATGTTTAATAATTAAATCAAAGTTAGCCTCTATAAATGTTTTTTCATCAGATAGTTTTGTTATTTATCATTAAGCATTGAACAATAAAATGTTTGTCTGTTTGCCATAAATTTACCTAAATTTAAAGATTATTGAAGCTACAATGTAATATGATCATGTGGCTTCCTGATACTGTGTCATTTACTATACAAATACAGAGAAAAGCAAACATAGTAAGATGTCTATAGTCTTTTTTTTTACATTTATATGTCATAGAGATTTTAGCCATTTTCCTACGGTAATTAAACACTCCTGTAAAAGAAGGTAAGAAGTATCTATTTTTTTTTTCATTATGTCTGACAGATTTCTACCTTTTTCCTATGGTAATTAAATATTCAGGTGAGAGATTGAAATCCCTTCAAAATTAAATATTTTTTGTCCCCATGAGAATATCAATAAGTTCAAAGGAACTTTGGTGCATCAAAGGGAGAATACTCTTTTGAAGAAGATTTGAAATTTGACACCAATAGAGACCTAAAACAACAGGTACCTACCTTACTAACATTAATATCAGGTACTGGTATTACAAGATCATTTCTAGTTTCTCGTCCAATCATACCACCTTTAATTGTCACGACAAACAACATCCCCTCGTCTAGTAAATCTGAAGCAGTCACCATTGCTCGAATACATGCAGCATTCTTCAATAATGATTCTGTGACAATAAAGAAACTATGAAATGAAAACAATTTTTTTACTTTGGTAGGAGAAGGTATAATAAAAGCTCTTATCTTGACCCTCTCTAGAAAAACAAACAAAAAATGATGTTGAAAATACTATTAAATGTATTGTCCTTTCAAAAATAAACTTTGGTGCTTACATTCAACACAATCTTTGTACAGAAATCTTCAGATTTGGGTTTATACTGAAACTACTGATACTTTTTGAATGTTTAGATCAGACCATTTAAATTTGGGTCCAAGCAATCAATGTTCTACTGTATTTGAATCATATAAATCTTTTAGGGAAAAGATACATGTAATGTAGACATAATTTTAATATTTTTGCAACTTATGTCCCTGATTATCTGAATGGTAATTATTAATATATTTATCAATGTTTATAACACTATATGATTTCAAATTTGAGGGAAATAATAGTGCATTGTCATATATACCTTCTCCTTTTAATACATACAATTTAAAATTTTTCAATAAAAATTCTGTTACTTTTTAATATTCAAATAACCAAATAATCAATACACTCGAAAATTTCAAATAAAAAACTAGGTTATCTAAAAACTCAGTTATTGAATATTTATGAAATAAAACATTACCTTTAACTTTACTTGAACAATATGAAATTGAACAATACAATACATTAATCTTTTGATCATAAAAATCATGAATCTAAAATATTCTCAATTTTAAACCTTCAGAGGCAGGTTCTGGTTTTCGGACAATTTCCATCCATGTCGGCTGAGATGGTAATTCTTTATTTTCTGATGACGATGATGATGAGGATGATGATGAAGAAGAAGATGAAGACGATTCATTTACAAGTTCTCCTGGCTCAAGTTCATAAGAATCTTTATCAGATTTCTTTTCTCCTATTTCCTTCTCATCTTCAGAGTCACTATCTAACTCAATCATTATTTTTTCCTCCTCCTTTTCAATGATCATAATATCATCATCATCACTGTATATATTGCCTTCTTTTCCCGGTATTTTTGTAACCTTTTCCACAGAATCGTGCACACCTTGCCCTACACCAAGCATTTCATTGGTCACATTGTCACCGTTATCAGATTTTTTCCCTGTTGTTTCTGATTCTTTAGATACACTATTGTCTGTATTTACTTCAGTTTCAGGTGGTTTCTCATTGTTTGTAGATTTTTCCTTATCCGCCTCTTTATCTTTTTCAGGTTTATTTTCATCATCAGTGTCTTCATTGTTTAATTCTGAACATATCCTTAGAATTTCAGCACTATTGACAATACTAACTTTATTGTAACTGATCATGCCTTCATCAGTTGGTAAACCACTAATCAGAAATGGATTTGTTGGGTCAACCTCATTTTCATTCTCATTCATTTCTTGAATTGAAACATTTTCATTCTGTTTTACAATTTCCTGAGAATTACTTCCCTTTACTGAAAGTTCACTTTGTTTATCTGAGTATTGAATAATATTTTGGGAATCAGAAGTGCCAACAGTTTGATCTATATTTTGTTTTTCATTGCATGTTTCATTTGAGGATGACTCTTCCTTTTTTTCATCTGACTGTGCACTGTCTTCCTTTCCTTGAATTTTGTCTTTTCCACTTTCTTTTTCGTTGTCTTCTATTTGCACATCTTTTTTTTCACCCAGGTCACTGATATCTTTTGATGTATCACTTTCATCCTTTTTTTCCTCGACTGTTTTTTTTAAGACTAGCTTTATTTTTTTCCCACCTTTCTGCACTAATCCAGTTTTTGGAAGACTTCTCTCTTCCTTGAGAACATCATCACAAATACTTACATTAGCATTTTTTTCATTTAAAATTTTGGGTTTTCTCATTGCGTCATGTAACATTTTGTCACCTTGTTTTAATTTTTTGTAATTCAATTCTCCTAGTACTACATTATCATGATTTAATACTCCCTCAGATACCGATTTTTCATTTTTATCTTTTTCTGTGGATGTCTTTCTTTTCTTTTTTTCTTTCATTCCATCATCACTATCGCCAGAATTATCCCTGCTTTTGTCCTTTTTCCTCTTTTTCTTTTTGTGTTCCTGCAGACAAAATTGGGAGTAGTGAATAAGGGGGACAACAAATGAAGAATTATATACCTGGTATAACAGTTAATCTGTCGAAAGCTGATAAAACTTCTTCATACTTTTCATTAACCTACAGAAAAGAAATAAAGCAAGCAGTCATGAAAAAGTAATGGTGTGTATTTCATTGTGAATCGAAACTTTTTGGAATTAAGTGTTTCATAATGGAACCCATCACCTAATTGTTTTGCATGCATAATGATGTTATAAGCAATTTTTCCATTTATTGATTCAATTTCCAAAGAAAATTTTAAAGCCCATTTTTGTATCTATGCATGCAAAGGAAAATTGTTAAAATAGGATTACATACCATTCTTATATCATAACTGCTTAAAAGCATAACACTGCTACGAAATTTTCTGAAAACAATATCAACTTGAAATACTACTTTGGAATATCTTTGAACTGCATCCAATCATTCCCAATAATAATACCATGTAATCAGCTTATTCATTAAATGTATTTTTTTCAAGATAATCTTTTTTAAACATATCAGTTAGTATCAAAGGTATCTATCCTTTTTACACTGTGATAAGATCTTGAGCAAGCATGCTCTCCATCTTCAAGCTGACTTCTTTGTAAATCTGTTACCGTATAGCGGGTTATTTTCGCGGGGTGTTTATTTTCGCTTATTTTAGCAGATAAATGAAAATCGTGAAAATAAATTCCGCGAAAAAATTTATGCATACGTTAGGTACTTTCTAATAGCTAAAGCGTTTTGTAAACGATCTATTTTTTTCCAGTCGGCAGGTCAATAACGGTATAGGTTAGTTTTAACAACATAAATGCCAAAGGGCAATGTACATACATGTATTTTATAAAATGACTGTGTGTATACCCTATTCAATTAGTGTCAAATAGATTAAGAGTGTAAGGTACTCTATCAAGTAATTACCCTTATTAATAAGTCTCAAATTACATAAGAGTTGTAAGTGACACTTGATAATTTTATAACCTTATTAGTAAGTACATCAAAGGTCCGGTCAATTTCGTAACTATTCAACCGTAAAATTTATAAGAAGTGTGTATACCTGTGACAAATATCTAAGTTACCGGTATTCTATTGATTAACTGTATCAGAATATAATCAATAAATAAGACGTCATTGAGGAAAAAAATCAATTAACCATAACAATAGACACTTGTTTTGCAATTTTTACAACTTTTTATCTGCAACAATTTCAGTATCTGCAAAAATATTTAATTGGGATTTAAGAATCCAACAAAATAAAAACCGCCAAAATTTTTAGTATACTTCGTTGCCCCTAAGTCGCGAAATTTTACACCCACGAAAATAACCCGCTATACGGTATATCCATGCTTTGTTATCATATACATGTAGTACCTAATATTTCCCGTAAATTTCTTTGTAAAAATGATAACATTATTAACCAATACTGTAAATTCAGAAATGATTGTGAGGTTTTTATTAATGTGAATAATATAAAAAAGAAGATGTGGTATGATTGCCAATGAGACAACTCTCCACAAGTGACCAAATGACACAGAAATGAACAACTATAGGTCACCGTAATAATGCATTTTTTTTACAAATAAATCTACATGAAATATTTGATATTATATTTTAAGATAGGATATAGGGTGGATTTACACATAAGTACCTTAAAAACTTACTGAAACATTGAACAAAACAATCTGGTGTTTATAGGGCAGTATTCAAAATACACCAATGATCACAAGTTATTCTTCATAAGCAAACATGTTATTTGTCTCATTGGCAATCATACCACATCCTCTTATTTTTTTTTAAATAGCCAGAAAACTAAAGCATGGGGGAAAATAAGGTCTTTCAGTGTGAGAGTTTGTGTCTAATGATTTGCTTGTAACTGAGATACAATCCCATAAGTAGCACTTGATTTAGTATCTGGAAACCACTTTTCTGCACTTATTGGGGCCAATTATAGGTAACTAAGACTTTGTCAATTAAAAAGTATAGGTAATGCAGAAAACACATCAATTAATGGTGTCTGGTGATGATTCATAGTCTGACTGAAACATTTGTCTTTCATACAGAAATTGGTATCATATGAATTTTTACACGCATATGATAAATTGTCAAAATACTCTCTTAGAATTGTTGTTTTATTTATTTACTTTGCAAAAATAATTTCACTACTGAATGCTTCTATCATGTCTACTGTACACCTACAATTTTGTACATATATGTGTAAAATTTGTCTATTGACAGAAGCATAAATTGATATTAAAATGTGTTAAAGATACATGATTCCTATACAAAATGAATGCATATCATTAACATAGATTTCAAAAAATTATAAGTACATAAGTTCATCACTTTCTATAACTTTTAATTCATATAAGTTTGTTTACCAAGGCCAGTTTTATACAAGTGATATTACACAAATGTATGGTAAAGACAACAAAAATTAATTTCTAGATTTTAAAAGAGCTCAAACAAAATAAAATAAACTGCTTCGTGGAGCACAGCTGGATACACCCGCAGAGGTCCAACCCTGAACAGTTGGGGCAAAAATGGACACAATATTCAAGCTTGATACAGGTCTGAATTTTGATTGTAATTAAATATTTGATATATTATAGGTTTCTGAATAAATGAAGTCAAAGAACTTGAAATTGGTTATATGAAAGATTTCTTGCTGTTGCGCAATACTTAGTAAATCTGTTTCAGACTATAAACAAATAAAATCTTAAAATCTTATAACTCGGAAACCTAAAATCGAAAATTTATAAAAATCAGAAGGGAGCTCATGTTGATAGAAATAAACAATTCACCAAAGTTTCTTGCAAATTGGTGAAATTTTTTTTGAGTTATTGTCCGAAAACTGGAAAATCTCCCTTTTTTTAATGAATAAAACCCAAAACTCGGAAACGCTAAATCCGAAATTTATAAAAAACAAAAGGGAGCTCACGTCAATAGATATGAACAATTCACAAAAGTTTCATGCAAATTGGTGAAATTGTTTTTGAGTTATTGTCCGAAAACTGGAAAATCCCCCTTTTTTTAATGAACATGATGAATAAAACCCCAAAACTCGGAAACGGTAAATCCGAAATTTATAAAAAACGAAAGGGAGCTCACGTCAATAGATATGAACAATTCACAAAAGTTTCATGCAAATTGGTGAAATTGTTTTTGAGTTATTGTTTGAAAACTGGAAAATCCTCCCTTTTTAATGAATAAAACCCCAAAACTCGGAAATGGTAAATCTGAAATTTATAAAAAACGAAAGGGAGCTCACGTCAATAGATATAAACAATTTACCAAAGTTTCATGCATATTAGTTAAAGCCTTTTTGAATTAATGTCCGACACATTGACGACAGACGGACGGACAGACGTTCAACTGTATACCATAATACGTCCCGTAAACGGGCGTATAAAAAGATACAAAAAATTATAATTTCATTTAATTGTCAACTTATCCTTCCAAAATGATATCAAGTTAAATCATACAATAAAGGGCTGATTAATAAATGAATTCTTAAATACATTTCTACAATAAAATTGTTTATATAAACAAAGTCAAAGACATAAAACTAGCACCAATCACCAACATATACAAAAACAGAAATATAAATGCAATATATTTAATTTTTGTAGGTGGGAAATAAAATTGTCAAGTGTCACCAGTAATGCCATTTATCTGTAGCGACCACGGCTCTGAAAAAACAATTAAAAAAAATAAAAGGGCTAAAAATATAGAATGAAATAACTGGCTGGTAATGGTAAGTACTCGAAACATCCCCTCATATGCAAAATACAGTGACAAGTCATCTTATTGTGCAGTTTTTACTAAAGAACTGCTTTTTCTACAACTAATAGGTAGTAAACAATGGCAACTGTCCATTCATTTTTGTACAGTCTACATACGTTATAAATATATCAACAGTGCTATGATATGAATGCAAAATATAACATTTTTATTTCATAAAACATATGCATGTTTTAGATAATCAATGCAAGATATAATTTCATTTAGAAAATTAGCAAGAGGGACGAAAGATACCAGAGGACAGTCAAACTCATAGATCGAAAACAAACTGACAACTAGCAAGTTGGTAACTTTTTTTGTATAGAAGCTTGAAGAAAAGGGACAATTTCTTTATGAAAGGTCCACATGGATGTGTGATAAAAATATAATGTGGATGACAGAAAAACCAAACTTCAATTCAAATAATAAAATTACAAACATTGACAAATAAACATGATAAAAGCAGAATAAAATGCTCCGCAGGGCGCAGCTTGATACGACCGCAGAGGTCGAACCCTGAGCAGTTGGGGCAAGTATGGACACAACATTCAAGCTTGATACAGCTGTGAATTTGGATTGTGATTAAATATTTGACACAGCATAGGTTTCTGACACAGAATGAATGTGGTCTAAGAACTTAAAAATTTTAAATTGGACATTCACCTATTATGGTCCAATATCCAAAATCTAAATACATGGTTAGATTCAGCATATCAAAGAACCCCAAGAATTCAATTTTTGATGAAATCTAACAAAGTTTAATTTTGGACCCTTTTGATCTCAATGTGGACAAAGTTGATAACGGGGCCCAAAAATCAAAAATCTAAATACATGGTTAGATTCAGCATATCAAAGAACCCCATATATTCAATTTTTGTTGAAATCAAACAAAGTTTAATTTTGGACCCCGATTTGGACCAACTTGAAAACTGGGCCCATAATCAAAAATCTAAACACATGTTTAGATTCAGCATTTCAAAGAACCCTAAAAATTCAATTTTTGTTAAAATCAAACTAAGTTTAATTTTGGACCCTTTGGACCTTTATGTAGACCAATTTGAAAACGGAACCAAAAATTAAGAATCTAAATACATGGTTAGATTCGGCATATCAAAGAACCCCAATAATTCAATTTTTGATGAAATCTAACAAAGTTTAATTTTGGACCCTTTGGACCTCAATGTGGACCAATTTAAAAACGGGGCCCAAAATCCAAAAACTTAATACACGGTTAGATTCAGCATATGAAAGAACCCCATATATTCAATTTTTGTTGAAATCAAACAAAGTTTAATTTTGGACCCCGATTTGGACCAACTTGAAAACTGGGCCCATAATCAAAAATCTAAATACATGGTTAGATTCAGCATATAAAAGAACCCCATATATTCAATTTTTGTTGAAATCAAATAAAGTTTAATTTTGGACCCCGATTTGGACCAACTTGAAAACTGGGCCCATAATCAAAAATCTAAATGCATGGTTAGATTCAGCATATCAAAGAACCCCATATATTCAATTTTTGTTGAAATCAAACTAAGTTTAATTTTGGACCCTTTGGACCTTTATCTAGACCAATTTGAAAACAGAACCAAAAATTAAGAATCTAAATACACGGTTAGATTCGGCATATCAAAGAACCCCAATAATTCAATTTTTGATGAAATCAAACAAAGTTAAATTTTGGACCCTTTGGACCTCAATGTGGACCAATTTAAAAACGGGGCCCAAAATCCAAAAACTTAATACATGGTTAGATTCAGCATATTAAAGAACCCCAAAAATTCAAGAATAAAACCCCATTGAAATTGATCAAGAAATAAGCAATTTATACGAAGTATATTCTTTTGCACAATACTGTGCAATTGAATATTTCTTGCTATTGCGCAATACTGTACAATTGACAATTTCTTGCTATTGCGCAATATTGTGCTATTGGATATTTCTTGCTATTGCGCAATACTGTGCAATTGAAGATTTCTTGCTATTGCGCAATACTGTGCAATTGAAGATTTCTTGCTATTGCACAATACTTATTGTATAATAATTTACACATCCTGTTTGGTGTGTATCTCCTACCATATCATTATTATTTGCTTTTACATATAAATCAGAAATAACCAACTTAAAATGGAAAATTTTAAAAGAAAAAAAAAAGGAAAAAAAGAAAACCCCCCCCCCCTCCCCCAAATTTTTTGAACCCCCTTATGATTCATCACCCCCAAACTCAATCCCAGCCTTCCCTTTGTGGTATGGTATTTTGCAGTACAATTTCAGAGAGATCCATACACTTGAACACAAGTTATTGTCTGGAAACTAGAAAAATGCTTATTTTTGGCCCCTTTTTGGCCCCCAATTCCTATACGTTTCGGGCAATTACCCCCAAACTCAATTCCAGCTTTCCCTTTGTGATATGGAACCTTGTAGTACAATTTAAGAAATATCCAAACACTTACACACAAGTAATTGTCATGAAACTAGAAAAATGCTTGTTTTTTGCCCCTTTTTTGGCCCCTAATTCCTAAAATTTTGAGGCAATTACCCCCAAAATCAATTACAGCCTTCCCTATGTGTTATGGAACCTTGTGGTACAATGTCAGAGAGATCCATACACTTACACACAAGTTATTGTCTGGAAGTTACAAAAATGCTTATTTTTGGCCCCTTTTTGGCCCCTAATTCCTTAACTGTTGGTACCATAACCCCCAAAATCAATCCCAACCTTCCTTTCGTGGTATTGAACCTTATGGTAAAATTTCATGGAGATCCATTCACTTAAACTAAAGTTAGAGTGCGAAAACCAATATGTCTTCGGACGACGCCGGACGACGACGACGACGACGCCAACGTCATACCAATATACGACCAAAAAATTTTTAATTTTTGCGGTCGTATAAAAACTAGCGAGAGGAGATCCAGGTAAAAAAAAGAAACACATGTTTTATAAAATAAATAAATAATCTATACACTTAAATACCACTTTCAACAGACACTACCAGTATATATATATATACATATATGAATGGTACATACCTTTTCATCTGAATCCCTTCTTTTTGGCTCTTTATCTTCTGAATCTCTCCTTTTAGAATCTTTTTTCTTCTTTTTCTTTCCAGATGAACTGCTACCATGCTCTGGTGAACGTTCAGAATATCGATCTGAATGTTTATCTGAATAACCATGGCGATAAGATCCATGTGTTCTATCTGGATATACTTGTGTTTGTGGAGTGTAGTAAGACAGATCTACTTTAGAGTGATATTCATATTTGCCTGTTGATTTGTTGAAGTAGAAATAGGTTCCAGACTTGGGATCATAATAAAGACCTTTTTCCTGGAAAAAAAAAATAACAATAAGCCTTTAATTTTTCGATTACCCGATTTAAGTTGCAATGAATTTATTCAAATGGCAAGTACTTAAAACCATTAGACATACTTTGCTGCTAAAAAAAAAATAGAAAACCCAAAGACATGAATTAAGGATTCAACAACAGCTTCTGGAGGCTCATTTTCAAAGCAAGACAGAAACAAGGAAAAGTTATTATTCATAAATTTTATAATTCATACCTTGAAAATACATATACTTTTCTTCATTGTTGTCCTGCTGTCATAGTATGGATCTGACTGCTAATCATACACAAATCTAGCTATAGCATTTTTATTGAAGTCACTGCTAGACGGACAGATATTTATGATATTACTTACAGCATTGTTATAATAGCCAGTGCAAGACAGACAAATCTTTAAAAATACTTACAGCATTATAATAATAGCCAGTGCTATAGTCATAGTATAGTCCTGACTGCTGATCAAACACAAATCCTGTCATATTCATGGCTGCTTCGGCTGTGGCCTTTAAACTGTCTGCTATAGACATTCCAGGTGTTTGCAGACCATCACCTATAGAAGTATGGAAAGCAGGATTCTGCAAACTGTCACCTTCTGTTGCTGTCTAAACAATAAAACAATACATGTATCTAATCAAAGCATCGTTGATGTTGTGATCCAGCCATATTCATAGCTAGTCTGATATTCTTTCTGACCATACTTTTTTCTAATTTTTTTCTCTCTTCATTTCCAATCTTACTGTAAAATTTCTATGTTATTGTCCAAAGGTAGGGAATTTCGCAATATTGATGCAAATATAAATATATACACTGATCTTTCAATTTTAGACTCTGTCAGATTTTATTTTTGACAAGAATGGAAAGGAAAATCGTCAAACAATTAATATATTTTTTATATGCTATTAATAATGACAGGTTTAATAATTTCCAGAAAGAGGCCTTTTAAATGCACTTTCTCAACAACAAAAATTAAAAAAAATAATAACTATTTTTTATCTAATTTGGTGTTCATTCTTTATTAAGAAAAAATACATTTCCTGTATTGAAATCTAAATGTACAAATACCTAATGCTAAGATATTTCCAGAATATCAATATAATGGGATATAAATGTAAAACAAACAAATCAATTTTATTGCAGAAAATGCTAAGGTAAGAGTTATGCCATTTTGTTTAATATTTCAACCAAATTTCTGATAATTGTAACTAATTAATTAGAACTTGATTATTGACTTATGTCAGATGATACAGGCACTGATTTTACAAGTAAAATAAAATTTACTTGCATTTTTTATACATATTTTTTTTCATTTTAAGTATTTTCTTTGAAAAAAAACACATCAGATTATTCATTCAGCTAGCTAGCAAAATTAACAGAATATTTTAATGTAGTGTAGATCAAAATAAATAATACATTTGTGGTTTACTATTGAGGTCAAGAATGTGTGTATTCAGTTAGGTGTGTAATAAATTGTGTCTATTTAATTATGTAACAGGTCATGAGATATTAACTGTTTTGAATTAAGCCTGGGGTTGTTACTAATTAATACTTATTTGAAAATCATGACAGTTAATAATCATTCTGACTCTTACTTGCCTATGGAAAGAATTGGAGTAATACCATTTCAAAAAAGTGTGGGAATCAACTTAGATATATTAATACACATGTTGACATGTTGACCTACATTTCATTGAACAATAATTTACACAAGCACAAGATACTAATTTAATAATTTCAAAATTCTTATCAACTGATTCAATTGATGTACAAATACTTTTTCAAATTAATTCATAAATAGTAAATCATCATAAATTTTGATTTAGAAAGGAACTATATTCAAGTTTATATCTAAAATAAAGTCACTATTCGACCAATCTTTTCTTAATTTAAGGGCAAATAACATGTCAAAAGTTTGCAGTTGATGATTAAAATGGTGTAGAAAGTTTCTGCAAGTCATAAAAACATATAATTAGTTTCATGATATGTCTTCAACTTAGTATTCTGCACCATCTCCAAAACCAGAGTGATCGCATAGATCCAGAATGGCTGAATCAAACATCAGCAATGACAGATACACAAAACAATATCAGCATTTCAAATTTGTATGTACACAATTTAGGAACTGCAGTTACTTTTGCCCCTTATTTTGAACCTGTCTGGAGCCACTAAATCTTATACTATTGTGTTCAGGAAGTGCCACATTTTTATCACTCTGCAGAACCCTTTTAGCTTTCTGATATGTCTGTACAAGGATAGTCTCACTATACAAATCCTTGGTCTGTAGGTGCTCTTATGACAAGTTTATTTCACAACCTATTCAACATAATTTTCATGTGACAGTCAAAATTTCCCATCTACACCCCCTGCCTATCTACATGTACTATTCCGTATTCAGAATCCACCTACATTTTTTATGTATGTATTTTTTTATTAAATCAATTGATTGATTCTCATCCTAAACATGTATAAATTATTTGTACAAAATCTTGGCCTAGATTTTAAGCAGGGTTCAACATTTCCTTTTTACAAACAAACTCTAAATGTTTACCTGCCCTGCATCTATCGCTGGCTCTGCACTCCAATCAAAAGTTGTGTCACCATCTGGTTTGGAGCCAGGTATATTAACATCATAAAGAGTGTCATCTGTAAATGAAGACAAAATTTTTCTACATTGGATTATAATCATTTACAAAGTTCTTTTTTCTACTGGTCCTACCAATCAAAATATCAACTTTAACCTTTAAAGCTACAACTTCAAAGAAACTGAAAGCCGTATTAGAGATTTTAGATTTTCTTTAGCTAAAGCAAATTGATTGAATTATGTATATAGCAAAACTTAAGATTTCTGTCTACTGTTAATATATGAGTCTAAAGTCTAGTAAAACCAGGCGGATTTAATGCAAGTACATGTACAGTACACACTAGACAGTTTTCACAGTGAATGTTTGTGATTGTTGGTTAGTTCTCTCTGCTTATTCCATAGGTTCATAAACCACACAAAATCACCTGCAATCACCCTGATTCACAGTGATTCAGTCAACATGGTCAAATTCACTCAACATCAGAAAAAGTTACTTTTTTCTCAAAGACCTTGGGTTTACTGTTGCAGCAAACTACATTATTTAGTATACAAAAAACACATTAATCTATTTCCTGAAACTGATCTATGAATATTGCAGTGTCTTACCAACTTCCATCAGATCTTCTGCTGAAGTTTGGGTGTCAGAGTTTGTAAATACTTTGTGTTTCTCTCTCCGATATTGGTGAAGTTCAGCACTAAGTTTATCTACTTGAGTCCTAAGATCCTCATTATAGTTATTTGCCTTTTCCAACTTTCTTTCCATAGCTGCAAGTCTTTTGCCATATTTTTCTAACTCACATCTACATTTGATAACATCTTCTTTGAGCAACTGGTTTTCTGAAGCAAGATCAATATCTAGTCCCGTATATTTTCTCAGAACACTTTCTTCAACATGCTCCAGTTCTTTGTCAGTTAATTTAACACTTTCCAATATTTCAGAACTATCTGCTTTTTCTTCAGAGTTCAATACTTCTTCCACTTTAGAGCTACCAGGTTGATCTCCTGATATCAATAATTCCTCGGGTTCAATGTTCTGTACATGTAAATGTTTTAATCTTTCATTTTCATCCTGTAGCATCTCTTCTGTGCTGTCTGTTTCATCACACAGACTGGACGTTATGTTTATTACATTTTGTATTGTCCTGTTAATATCAGTACTACTTTCTACTGTCTGTCCTGGGTCATCGTCGCAACTTGAAATTTGAGAACTTTGAACATTAGGAGACTGTTGAACTGCTATTTCATTTTCTGTTATCATGTCATTTTCTGAACTTATTGCTTCACATTTTGAGCTCTCTATTTCTGTACTGTCAGGCTCCATAATTTCATTCAAATCAATCCAGTTAAAAAATCACTAAGTATATCTGTAAACCTGCAAAATACCAAAATAAAATTACATATTTTCACCCCTATTTCAAGGATGACTACAATTCAGTTGTCCTGTTACTGTCATAATCTTTTCCTGTCAGAAGGTTCCTGAGATTTTTCAATGAAATGGTTTTAGGGTGTAATGACCTAAAATTACAAATGCCATAGTAATAGAACATACATCTTTGGATTCTCTTTTTTAAATTAAATTGATTGTAACCTATATATGTATACAATATGAATTGGGAATTATACACTAAAAAAATTTCTTCAGATAATCAGTGGCAGTTTATTTTTGTGTATTTTCTTTCTCACTTGTAAAGTAAAGTGATTCAATTTGATCGATAATTGCTGTACTGGTGTTATTTGAAATTAAAATAAAAAAATCATGAAAATCATGTTCCGTTTTACGATTGCGACAACAAAGGTGAAGGCATACAACATTTTGTATAGAATTGAACACTTGAACAGGTTTGGGAAGATCCTCATAAATGTGTACTATCCACATTTATAGGTATTATACCCAAAATTATGAAAATCGGGTATCAATTTACAGTGATAAAAAATCAAATTTTTTTATTTCATCATAATCATGATGAAAACTATCATGGTGCAAATATTCATATAAATGGCAACATTTTTCCCTTTAACATGTTAAAGACCATAGTTCAAATGAGAATTGAATACAAAAATGATGGCCTCCAAAAATCATTTTGAATTAAGGCTGTTAACTTTTATTCTGATGATATTTCAGTCGTTGTGTCTTTAAGCAAAATGTTATCCTTTACCAGAATGTTTGCGCCATGTCAGACAGAAATTATCTGTAAATCAAAAGTTTATATTTTTAACACTGAACATTGATACACGTTTTGGGGTATAATACCCATAAATGAAGATAGTACCCATTAAAGAGGATCCTTCCCATAATAATAATAATAAATTCTTTATTTTCAGAAGGTTACACAGTTATAAACAAAACAGTTAATCCTTGGCCTTCTAAGTTCTAATCTACATACATGACATATAAGAATACACAATTTCTAAAAGATAATTATACATAAACAAAAGGGTAATCAAGCAAAAACATACTTCACTGCATACAAGAGCACATATATAGTACAGGTAGACAATTAAAATTTACTTAAATAAAAAGTATATTTGTAGTAAAAATGTAAAACCTGTTCAATGCAGATTTATAACATTACACATTACAGTGGGATAGAAGACCACAGATTTATATTATAGCGAATGTCATTTCTAAACAAGCATTCTGAGAGTATAGCATGGCAATACATAGTCCCCTACCGGGTAAAAATTCATTATACTGGAACAAAATGCTAACTTGTTCTATAACTTGTCATGGTCAGAGCTCCAGTTAAGAATTCACACATTGGGGTTTTTATCCATCATTTATTATATGATTGAGTGAAATATTTTTTCATTTGCATTATTAATTCTAATTCACCCCTCAAGCAATTATCAAATTGGGTTTTTCACCACCAAGCTCCTTAATATATTTGGTTTTTTCATCATCAAGATATTGAATTTAGTCGTGTTATAATACAATTCTATCAAACCGAGATGTTCATCTATTTTAAATATATTTCTTTCATTATTAATTACACCTTATGTAAGAATCCTGGGTTTTGATTGGTTGATAGCCAGTGTATTTTTCACCAATTTACTGTTTTCAATGAATATCGTTCATTTTTTAACGCTGCCGGGGTAAATGCAAAAAGGATATGCTTTTTTTACCCTCTCTGCCATGGTATTTGCCAAAAAATACTCTATCCGACTGGACACTTGTAACGTCACGATCATCAATGCGTTTTTGAACGTTAACATTCGGTGTAATTAAATAGATATTGCATGTTTTTGAGGGGTATTTGCGAAAAATACCAGTCTTGAGAATGAATTTCCCTCGCCTTACGGCTCGCGAAATTTAACATTCTCTCGACTGGTATTTTTCGCAAATACCCCTTCTTAACATGATATATCTGTTCAATATTTGATGGCTGTTTTATTTGGTTTATACCCTGACGAGCAATTGTTCTGTTTAATTTGTGTCCGGTTTGTTTCAACCCTTCCGCCAGTTTTTTTTCTTTTCTCTCAACTTATATAAACTGGTGTCACTAGTGGGACAGAAACTAATTACCTTTCTAGGACAGATACGATCACCCATTGGTTTATTTGCCAATATTGGCGTAGGTGTGGCTAAGTTGTTAGATTTTTATGAAGTACTTGTGAACATTGGATCCTGTAGGACAGGTTTGCCAGTCCTATCAACTGTTCGCAGACCTACTTCTATATATTTAAATGAGAAGACCTCATTTTGTGTGTCGCTTCTCTTCCTTCCACAATTAATTAATCATCATGCCTCTGTGTCCTATAGGTACCATGCATAGTCGCATTTGTCACCCTCGCTTATGATTATTCAGTTTGATATATTTTTGGAGGAAAACGAAAATAAAGGCGTCCGGATATTGTTTCCGTCATCGGACGGACTTTTAAGTCATAGACAAGACTTCCATTGTGGACTGTTTTAAAATATCACAAAAAGTACTTGGGGACAGGACGATTATATTCGCGTTTTTCTGTATACTATGATCATACATATACTATAAATAAAGTGTATTTGCTATTTACTATCAATTCCAAGTTTACTATCCACGGCGGTCACTGATATATTATATAGAGAGCCGTGGATAGTAAATAGCAAATACACTCATAAAATCTTTTACAAAAATTCATCCTACACAGTTTACATACTTTCAACCACGCTCTTAATGCCCGTGATTTTGCGGGTGTGTTCTAGTTGTTTGTAAAAATAATAAACAGTTCCCAGTTGAATTAAGATACACCCTAAAACCTTGACTAGATCGACCAGGTTAAGAATATGACCATGGGGTGGTTTAATGACTGAGACCACATTCAATTTCAAATGATCAAGCAACATCAAATAAATAAATGACAATGTTGTACTACACTTGCCAATATCATAACTATCTAAACATGGTAGTCTTATCATGCTTATTGGCATAAGATAAAAAAAAATAAAGAAAGTGGCCAGCTACATTTATGTCAAAACGAATATGTGTGTTTACTCATCAACAGAAATGGAAAAAACTCTTTTAAAACTAAAATAATATTTGAATGATTAAACATATGTCTCTGGTTTAATTTTATTCACATAAATCTGGTCAATTTAGGTGTCCCTTTAATATATTATGTTAGGTTTCCAATGCTTTTCAAGGACATACATTGTAATTGATTTGGCCTTTCACTGTTCCAACTGATTTAATTCTTGCACCACTGATTAATCATATGGAGACGAAACCCGGATTTGTGATACTTACAATGTTCTCGTTAAGGCACGTATAATAGCACTGGCTTTCTGTCTGGTCGCGCATGAAAGCGTGAGTCCGTGGAACGCTTCTTGATAACACTAGCTGAGTCTTATTATTATCATGATTATCCCTCAGCTATCAAAAAGAAGCTGAAAACATGTGTCTATTCAATATTTTTACCGAAAATTTACTTTTGTATAAAATCATTCATTGTCATTGCTATATGTGTCAGTGATAAATCCAGAGCAATATGAATAGAATAGAATACTTTAATTTCCCAAATTACAGGGCCCATAAAGGGCACAATTCAGATACAATTGATTTACATAATTGGTAACAACAACAATAATAGTCACTTGTAAATATATATTTAGTATATTAGCATTGGTCAGATTCAGAGCCAAAAACCACATATATATTGTGAATAAAAGAATAAAATTACATATATGCATTCATTCTCAAGTCATTTACTTAACTTAGTGTCAATATTCATACCTGATCTCCTTAATTCAAAACAGTCACAAATATAACAGCTCAGTTTTTCCATAAGAGTTACATTTTCTTGGGTCAAGAGCCATAAAAAATTAGATTTATTTAAATTTTTAAAATTATAACAATTGTTAGAAATGTATTGAAAAAAATCTTCCCTTTGAGTATCATAAAGAGGGCATTCTACCAAAAAATGAAGCTCATCTTCAACTTTACCAAGTGAGCAATTTGAACAAAGACGCTCAGATCTTTCTATATATTTTTTTGAATATCTGTCTGTCTCAATTTTTAAAGAGTGAGCGCTTATTCTTAATTTACAAATTGACTGTCTTTTTTTAAAAATTCTGTAGCTCTAAATATTTTTCTTTTTTAAAACAATTTTTATAGAAAAATAAGTACCAAGCTTCCCTTTTTCAGAGTTAATTGTTTGATACTTCAGTCTATTCCAAAATGTTAAATAACTTTCACATAGTTTATTTTTAACATACTGACATAAAGAACCAATTGATTGGTCAAAATTTGGTAATTCAATCTCTCTCTGAATATGAAAAAAATTATTATCTTTACTACAATTGGATAAACGCAGAGAAGATCGAAATCTGTTTACATCAGCATGTTTACCTTCTTGAGCAAAGGACAATTCCAACAGGGACGCAGGTCAACTATTTGCGGAACGCTCTATTTTTAGAACGAAAGGAGATTTCCAATTATAAATATTACGAAAATAGATTTAAGCAACCATAATTTATAGATTAGGGTAAATAACCCACATGATAATGACTAGAAGGGTTGAGAACACATGGTTCTGACATATAATTGGGTTTTCCTTTGCATGAATTGGGTTTTTGAACGCTGCAATCGTCAATTGCATTGGGTTTTCAGTTGTTTTTATTGCGTGATCACGCAAATACGCAGCTTATCTGGAGCTCTGCATGGTGTAAACAAAAAGTAAATATCATGTCAATATCTTCAAGCATGACTAAAAACAGTGTTGAAAACTGATTATATGAGTGAATTTTTCAAGTCCAAGGACCATAACTCTGCACAAAATTATTAGATCGAAACAAAAATTTGAACTTGATCTGTAACTTGTCATGATAAAACCATATACCAATTATCAATCAATATCTTATAAGCATGATGAAAAAAACATTAGATATGATTAATAGTTCTCTAGAATTAGATATGATGTAACACAGTGTATATCTATTTCAAATTATAATCAGATAAATTAATAGTTCCAAATATTTTTTTCTTTCATTTGTCACAAACTAATATAGATTTGTAACTAATCTATAAAATGTCAACAACTTTTATCTACACAATGTAATGTATTGAAATATATACATTAATAAAAATAGATTATTATCTAATTAAAGGATTTCTCTTCATAATTTTTTTTGATATATAATACACAAAATGTAGCATTCAGAAAATTAGTTTATACTAAATAACAAACAAACCTGTCAAAAAATTCTTCAAATAATTTAACAAAGAATGTCTTTTAAAAATGAGTTATCTCCCTTTGTACAGAAATATGGTTTAACATAGTACTCTAACATTAGATATGGTCCAGAGTTATGGTCCACAACTCTGGACTAAATCATCAGACCGGAACAAAATTCGAACTTGATCTATTACTTGTCATGATCAGTGATTTTGCTAGCGCTCGTCATTTTCGTCATTTACGAAACGGTTTTCAGAATGACGAAAGTATTCCAAATCAATTTCGTCACTTAAATTTGGAAAGAGTAAAAATATTTTCGCATGAAAATACTATAATTCTACCTGTCTTATTGTTTCTGACAAGTTTATGACCCTCAGCTAATTAACATTTTCAACAGGTGTTAAAAGTTGTGATTACAGATAATCCGCTTATCGCCATCGGATGGGTCACTAATCCGTTAATCATTTATCAACCTCAAAATTGATCATCAATATAATTATTTTCCCTAGTAAAATCAGTCAGTCGGCATTTCAATTTCAATATTTATCAAACGAGCACAATTTGCAGTTCGTTTGTCGTAGTTTCGTCATTTCAACATTTGAGTATTCCCTCGGACAGTTCGCATTTTAATTTCAATATTTCTCAAACGATCACAATTTGCAGTTCGCTTGTCGTAGTTTCGTCAAATGAACGTATTTTCGTCATATTTGATATAACTTTTAATCAAAAACTTTCGATAACTTCGATTAAAAAGATAGAACTTTATTCATAACATTCAGAAATGTTTTCACAAGTCAAACAGGTACTTCTTTTACTAGGAACTGCGCTTGCGCGAAAGTATTCATATGAATTTAAAGATACTAAAACGTAAAATACGAAATAATTAAGTATTCAACTAAACGAGAGAGACAAATATAGTTCTTATGTAGCAAATTTAATTTAAAAAATGATAATTTCCTGCCTTTTTTAAACACGAACCAATCCGTAGATGAATCCGGATTCATTCTGAATTTATTATCAACTTGTCACTTCCCGTTTTCATTTCATTTGGAAATCGAAAGTAAACGTGACTATTCATGATAAATTTACAATTTAAAGTCATTAGAATTGTTCCAATAAGGATTTGTACAAATTCTTGGTTCCAACTTCATAAAAATTAATTCTAAATATCGCTTTAAAACGTTTTTAAGGATAATGAGTATGAATAATGCAGTGAAATAGTCCTTACAAGTTCATTTCTGCTGTGAATCCTGGTTTAAAAAAAAATGGATCCCAACTTTTGCTGATTAGGAATGTACCCTGAAACTAACTGATGTGAAATTGTGAACTAGATTTCTAGATCTTATATCCTAATCTTTCGTATTAAAGTGCCACATCAGTCAAATCATGCAGTAACTGCCTAGTATGCCTATTAAAGTCCTTCAAAGACAAAGTCTGACAAAGTAATATACATCCTAGGTCCCTTGCTGCTACCCAAAAAAAGGTTGATTTTCATCCCACGCAAAAGTGACTAAAGCCCTCAAAATCCTAGCTTAAACCCTGCATGATAAAACTATATACCAAATATCAAATCAATTTCTTCAAGAACAAAGAAAAAAAGTGTGGAAAGCTGATTTGCCGTACTGACGGATGGACAGACGGACAGACTGACTGAGTGCAAACCTAAAGTCCCCTTCGACTTCGTCGGTAAGGGGACTAAAAATAAGAGATGCATAGCTTGTGTTGTATAAAGGTATATACAGTAGACTAGTGTCCAGTAATTCTGCCCGTCCGGTAAACCCGCCAACTCCTATTTCTTCCATAATTGTCACTTCCGTGATTATTTCGTCTGCTATTTTATTCCTAGGAACTGTACTTATCATCACTGTACGTCAAATTTTAAAGAAAAATCCTTTATTACAAAAAATATGTAGTGATACATATAACACAGTTCCTTAAGCTAACTATAATCATATTATTGCTTACAAAACTCATTTCTGGCTTGAAAATTTGTTTGGCCAATCTGGAATCTCTTTATAAGTGGTCTGTAAATAAATAAATCACCTTTTCCTTTCATAAATTTGTGATAAACTGGCCCTCCATACATATTTTCTGCGCATGGGCAGATTTACCGGACAAACACATTTCCGATAAAAACACAGATGACCCACTTGTATTATTGATTTTAAAATTTACTTCAGATATTTTTTGAGAAATGAGATAAACTACTCAAAGTTGATTTGTAAATGAATCGATTTATATTAAATTTGATATAATTTGTATATAATTAAGGAGAAATACATACAGTCAAAGTCGTATGTGGGCGAAATTACCGGCCTGCATCGTAAGTAAAACAAATTAGAGACAAAGTTACTAGTTCATGCCTGTGGCAGAATTCCAAAATTGCATGTTTGGTATTTTTTCTATCACTCGTCTGATGGTATGCATTTATCAGTTATTCACATTCTAATTTGTGTTGGTCTTTACCTGATTTTTTTTCGTTTTTCAATTTCAATATATATTGAAAAGTGATAAATCTTTTAAAGCATATGGTCAACTCTCATGTCTTGTCTGCTCTACTTCCGGTTACTAAAACTAAAAGTGTGAAATGAAGAAATAACGTCTAAATATTTTAGTACTTCCTGAAATAGAAATAGTTATTATGAAATAATTTATAATTTTGAAGAAATAATTACAAGGGTTTCGAAAATTTAATAAACTTTGCAAATCAAATAAAAATTAGAATTAGAATTTTAAAATGGTCGGATCAAAAGAGCACTAATTTATACTTTTACTGAAATATCACATGACACGAAGATGGCAGACATCCAGAGTCCTGAAATTTTAAAATGTTACATTCACAGATTCGGCATTTCCTTACCCTTCAAAGATATCATAAGCTTAAAGATTTGTCAGAGTCAAAGATATATTTCAATAGAGAAAGAAAATTCTCTGCTAGAAATCATCAAACTTGACACAAAACAGAGTAATGTGAAACCAGTTGAAATAGAAGGCATAAAACAGTACGGTTATTTTTGGCTTAGAGGATATTGTTTGAGACGGGAGGGATCCCATTTGCTGATTTTTTCTTAAAGATAACACTCAAAACATTTGGGTGCCTATTATAAATGAAAACAACACGTTATAAATTTCATGCATCTGAAGCATACATGTAATTTGCCATAAGTGGAAACAAAATAGACACGAAAAGAAACTGAACGAAACAAGAGGAAATATGTGCTAATATGCTAGCTCAGCTTTTCAGAGTTAACCCTGCTTGCCCATTAATTGTTTCACAGATTACGCTGGATATGTTTCAATTGTCGTAACCACAATTCTGTCCTCTTTTCCTATAAATTGATGTCACCAAATGACTACTTGCATGAGCATCATGACGGGTGCCACATGTGGACATACCTGTCAACTGACCAGTATCTTGTGTGTGACACCCCGTAAATTTCACCTCTCACACATTATTTTTCAAATATCCGCTGGCTCTTAAAATAACCTGGGAATTAGTAAAAAAGACCCGTTTTCACCCAGATTCTTGATCCTTTAGACTGATTTCATAAGTGATTTTCCTTTAAAATACTGAGATGAAATACTAGCAAATTCATAATTCTTCCTGGAAAGGAAGTTCAACTAGCTGTGTTAACTGTCAAATTAAGTGACCCATTAAGTGCATGGCTTCACATGACAGCTTTGGTGTCAAACACACTATTAATTAACATCAATAACCTTAAGCTTAAGGTCAAAAATAATTTGTGTATCTCAAAGCTGTTTGACAAAAAATTTGAGTTACTCCCCCTATTTGCCACCTTTCACAATATACTCCTTAAACTTATGTTTTACTTGTAAAAAGATTAAATCTAAGGCAAATTGAATGCATATACATATCAGAATATTACTCTCTATTATTTTACTGCTTAGTACAATTAAAAAAAAAATTTTACTACTTAGAACAATAAAAAAATTAATATTTTGATAATATTTTTTTTCATCTCTTCTTCCTTTAAATGCTTTTAAATTTTGAATTATATTTTCTAATATCCCTGTCTGATATAACATGTGGCTTGTGGATTGATTTAAAACTATGAATGAATAAGATAATATAAAAAAAACAAACTATGAATGAAACATAAATAGGGGGTATGGCTTGGCTTGAATTGATATAGTGTAATACATTAATATTTCAATGGCTTTTAAATGCAATGAAAAAATTAAATTAAAATTAACGTTTTAAATTAATTTCAATTAATACTTAACTATGTGAACATGTTGATTTGAAATATAAAAAAAATGTCCCCTAATTACTTAAATTCAGCTGAAAAGTTCGTACGTGTTATGACCTGAGATTTTCTTCTTCAATGCGGGTCATGACCTGCATTTTTATTTTCATAGGTTGACAGGTATGCATGTGGAGCAGAATCTTCTTACCCTTCCAGAGTACCTTAGATCACCCCCTGGTTTTGGTGCATGGGTTCACATCAAGTTCTTGTTGCGTAGTCAAGTTTTCCATTTTGTGTATAACTGCCTGAGCGGTCTCGTGGTGGCATGCTTATCTCAATTGCTGGAGGTTGGTGGTTCGAATCCAGACCATGTCATAGTCAAACCATAACTTGAATACTGTAATTTTCTGCTGCTATTTAGGAGTAAGAGAAACAACTAGTCTCTTCAGTTTTGAATGTGCTTCAAGCTTGTGAAGTAGCGTGTTTAAAATTCGACTCAACATTTCTGTCTTGTACAAAACAGGGCTCATATTCAAAACATGTTCTCATCCTGATATGCATGTTATATTTGCCACTGGACGTTAAATATTAGTTTATCAGCATCATCCAAATGGTACTTTTGTTCTGTTTTTTAAAAACAATTTCATTTTATTTCTTTAACTTCCCATTCTAAAAATTGAATTTGGCAATCTTAAGTACATGTTTTTTTTTTTACATGCATGTGCAATTGTAAATAATTTATGCCTGCCATATTTTTATACAAGGAATTTACATACAAGACACAAAATTTGTTTTTCTGAAGTTGAAACAATGTAGTGAAAATAACATATTTATCCCAAAATTATAGTCTTTATTATCAATATTTCTGGTATACATATACATGGTATAAGACCATTTCTGTTATTAAATAATCTAAATCTGTTCCATTAGTATTTTAAGAATTTTCAGTACTTGTATTTACCGTAGATAAGAGTTCAATCTACCTTTTTCAAATTACAATTGATAATAACTATTTCTAGCTCAACCGCTTACAGCTGGCTATGTATCAACTTCTCAAGGGAAGCAATCCTGTCACACTAAAATAAAACATATTGGATTGGAACTTAACAACTGTTACTATAAAAGGCATAAAATAAAACTTATTAGATTTGTACTAAACATAAAAGAATGAAATAAGTTGGATATAATTGGCAAAATAGCAATATTGTTAAATGCAAACATTGTGACTGTGTGATAACAAGCTATTCTCTTTGACTTTTGATCACCATTTCTACTTGTCAATTTAAAAAAAAGTCACTTCTCCCTATAAATCTTAATTAAAGTAGTGCTATTCCTGATTTATAAGATTTATCATTATAAATTTAAAACTATGACATTTAAAAGCACAAAGCATCTCCAACCTTTCATACATTGTAGTTTAATTTTTTAGTACAATAATATTATAACATGTCTACTTTTTGTTCAGAATTGTATGGAACACAGACCATTCCAACACAGTAGAAGGAAGTTTTGTTTGTCTGAAACAAGATGGTAGTTTGTTATGTTACAAACAGCATACAGAGATTGCCCTTCAACAGAATATTAATGAAGTCATTGTGCAAGGTATATGTGAATTATCATTCAGAATTTCTGTAATAAGATGATTTAGTTATAGATTCTCAACATGCACATCTTCACTAGCCAAGGATTACAATTCAGTCCACTCCTCTCCAGAAGAGAGTTGGCTAGCGAAGATACAACATGCATGGAAACCTTAAGAAATACACCTGTATGTAAAATTTTGGACTTTTTTTTTTAGACTTGGATAAATGATGTAACTAATGAGGAATATTTGCTTCTTTCATGTTTGTGATGTTTTTTGTCTTTTGATAAGCTAAAAGATAGATTTTCAACTGTAATTAAAATTATTTATGCTTTTTCTATAAAGTTTAAATTGTAGCTATACAGTATTCTCAGAAATTTCTTATATCATCCTGGTGAACAGAAAATTATGAAATACCATCTTGTTTCTAGAAACTATAGCATCACATTCATTACACTTTCTATAAGAAACTCATTTCAGATAACATCACATTCTAGCAATATAGCATCACATTACCATGATGCTAAAAGGCCCTGGGGAGAACACTGTATATAGTTTATTTCTAATTTTCTGGAAATTAAATTAACAGTTTATTTATAAAAACATAGACTAATTTAGTCAATATGTGTGTTAAAAAAATGAGTAATATTTTGATTCCAAATTCTGCTAATTATGAAATGTAGCTAGGGAGAAAATAAATCATTTCAAAAAGCTTACTTGAATGATGAAATAGAATCAAAGAAACACTATATTATCTTTATTTATACATGGAAGAAGCACTCTAAGAATTTATTTTTTTGCAGAAGACAAAATTGATTTCAAAGACTTTAAATTAGCCAGTTACTATGGAAACCACCTAATTGTGAAAATAAAAGATGAATTGGTTGTTATGGAGATAAAAAAGGCGGGATATAAAGTTGTGACATCCATTATTATACCTAATAATACAGTAGCACACAATGTTTATCATATTCTGACTGGCTTCGTAGCAGTGTTTGATGGTGAAACAACAATTATTAGTATCCTTATATAGTTAGAAATCAAATATAATTGAAAGATACAAACTGAATGATGTAAAATAATAGTGTGACTGACTGCAAAGTGAATTTCTAGGTAATAAAAAACACAAAACATTGAAATAAGCGTAACATCATTGCAAATTGTAAAAAGTAGACTTATTGATGTTTTTCACTACCGACTAGGTAACACATTATAAACGAAGTGGTGACCCCATGATATTATTTTATTTCAATCAAACAGAAATTTATGTAATAACAACATATCAACTTTTAAGAAAAATGGTGTAGAGATTTGATGATTAAGACAAATTTAAGAATGTTTTTCATCGATTTTATGAGCTTATTATACAAAAGTTCACCTCATTCAGTAATATTTAAAAAAAAAAAAAAGATAAATGCACAATTTTTATACGACCGCAAAAATTGAAAATTTTTTGGTCGTATATTGGTATGACGTTAACGTCGTCGTCGTCGTCGTCGTCGTCGTCGTCCGGCGTCGTCCGAAGACACATTGGTTTTCGCACTCTAACTTTAGTTTAAGTGAATGGATCTCCATGAAATTTTACCATAAGGTTCAATACCACGAAAGGAAGGTGGGGATTGATTTTAGGGGTTATGGTACCAACAGTTAAGGAATTAGGGGCCAAAAAGGGGCCAAAAATAATCATTTTTGTAACTTCCAGACAATAACTTGTGTTTAAGTGTATGGATCTCTCTGACATTGTACCACAAGGTTCCATATCACAAAGGGAAGGCTGTAATTGATTTTGGGGGTAATTGCCTCAAAATTTTAGGAATTAGGGGCCAAAAAAGGGGCAAAAAACAAGCATTTTTCTAGTTTCATGACAATAACTTGTGTGTAAGTGTTTGGATATTTCTGAAATTGTACTACAAGGTTCCATATCACAAAGGGAAAGCTGGAATTGAGTTTGGGGGTTATTGCCCGAAACGTTTAGGAATTGGGGGCCAAAAAGGGGCCAAAAATAAGCATTTTTCTAGTTTCCAGACAATAACTTGTGTTCAAGTGTATGGATCTCTCTGAAATTGTACTGCAAGGTACCATACCACAAAGGGAAGGCTGGGATTGAGTTTGGGGGTGATGAATCATAAGGGGGTTCAAAAAATTTGGGGGGGGGGGATTTTTTTTTTCTTTTTTTCCTTTTTTTTTTCTTTTAAAATTTTCCATTTTAAGTTGGTTATTTCTGATTAATATTTAAAAGCAAATAATAATGATATGGTAGGAGATACACACCAAACAGGATGTGTAAATTATTATATAATAAGTATTGTGCAATAGCAAGAAATTTTCAATTGCACAGTATTGCACAATTGCAAGAAATCTTCAATTGCACAGTATTGCGCAATAGCAAGAAATCTTCAATTGCGCAGTATTGCGCAATAGCAAGAAATATTCAATTGCACAGTATTGTGCAAAAGAAGATACTTCGTATAAATTGCTTATTTCTTGATCAATTTCAATGGGGTTTTATTCTTGAATTCTTGGGGTTCTTTAATATGCTGAATCTAACCGTGTATTAAGTTTTTGGATTTTGGGCCCCGTTTTTAAATTGGTCCACATTGAGGTCCAAAGGGTCCAAAATTTAACTTTGTTTGATTTCATCAAAAATTGAATTATTGGGGTTCTTTGATATGCCGAATCTAACCGTGTATTTAGATTCTTAATTTTTGGTTCCGTTTTCAAATTGGTCTACATTAAGGTCAAAAGGGTCCAAAATTAAACTTAGTTTGATTTTAACAAAAATTGAATTTTTAGGGTACTTTGATATGCTGAATCTAAACATGCATTTAGATTTTTGATTATGGGCCAAGTTTTCAAGTTGGTCCAAATCGGGGTCCAAAATTAAACTTTGTTTGATTTCAACAAAAATTGAATATATGGGGTTCTTTGATATGCTGAATCTAACCATGTATTTAGATTTTTGATTTTTGGGCCCCGTTATCAACTTTGTCCACATTGAGGTCAAAAGGGTCCAAATTAAACTTTGTTTGATTTCATCAAAAATTGAATTATTGGGGTTCTTTGATATGCCAAATCTAACCGTGTATTTAGATTTTTAATTTTGGGTCCCGTTTTTAAATTGGTCTACATTAAGGTCCAAAGGGTCCAAAATTAAACTTAGTTTGATTTTAACAAAAATTGAATTCTTGGGGTTCTTTGATATGCTGAATCTAAACATGTGTTTAGATTTTTGATTATGGGCCCAGTTTTCAAGTTGGTCCAAGTTGGGGTCCAAAATTAAACTTTGTTTGATTTCAACAAAAATTGAATATATGGGGTTCTTTGATATGCTGAATCTAAACATGTATTTAGATTTTAGATTTTTGGCCCAGTTTTCAAGTTGGTCCAAATTGGGGTCCAAAATTAAACTTTGTATGATTTCAACAAAAATTGAATATATGGGGTTCTTTGATATGCTGAATCTTACCATGTATTTAGATTTTTTATTTTGTGGGCCTGCTATCAAATTGGTTCATATTGAGGTCAAAAGGGTCCAAAATTAAACTTTGTTTGATTTCATCAAAAATTGAATTATTGGGGTTCTTTGATATGCCAAATCTAACCGTGTTTTTAGATTTTTAATTTTGGGTCCTGTTTTTTAAATTGGTCTACATTAAGGTCCAAAGGGTCCAAAATTAAACTTAGTTTGATTTTAACAAAAATTGAATTCTTGGGGTACTTTGATATGCTGAATCTAAACATGTGTTTAGATTTTTGATTATGGGACCAGTTTTCAAGTTGGTCCAAGTTGGGGTCCAAAATTAAACTTTGTTTGATTTCAACAAAAATTGAATATATGGGGTTCTTTGATATGCTGAATCTAACCATGTATTTTGATTTTGGACATTGGACCATAATAGGTAAATTAAAAAATTGAAGTTCTTAGACCACATTCTTTCTGTGTCAGAAACCTATGCTGTGTCAAATATTTAATCACAATCCAAATTCAGAGCTGTATCAAGCTTGAATGTTGTGTCCATACTTGCCCAAACTGTTCAGGGTTCGACCTCTGCGGTCGTATCAAGCTGCGCCCAGCGAAGCATTTTATTTTAATTTTAAGTTCAAGTATAAATCTGTGACATGACCCATTTACTTTTACTTGACCTTTAGATAATTGTTTTAAAAAGTGTGATTCTGTTGCTACCACATCATCACATGCAAGTTTAAGGAGCAGTAAAATTTGGTGGCATTGCATTTAAATGTCCTTTATTCTTTCTGATTTTATGTTTTTAACATGAAATAAACAAAAAACCTGTTAGCTTGATTTGATGTACATTTTTGTACATTGAAAAAACATGATTATAAATTAAATTGTTTAAGGAAAAATTTTAGATTAAACATCCTTAACTTCCACAGCATTATACAATATAACCAATGGAGATATTGTAGCTACTGTTAACCTATCAAGGACAAATATTGAAACAGACAGAATGTTGTCATGGCTATTTACTCCAGATCTAAAATATTTGGTTGTCATGGAAAATACATTAACAGTCACATCTATAAACCTTGATAGCTATATTCAACAATTTCCATCATGTGTTAGCAGAACAAAATTAAAAGATCTCCAGTTTTCAAATAATGAAGTTCTGAACACTATTCATGTTGGGGATTCCACTTGGAGGAGAAAACTCTTAACCATTCATGATCATAACTCAAAACTACCAACTAAGCCATGGTATACTGAACACAAATCCAGCAATTCAACTTTAAATGTAAAACCTCAATCTACTAGGTGGAGAGTATCTGGTTTTTGGAAGAAAAATAGAACAAAGTCGCAAAATACCATAGCTAATCTAGAAGGCGATAAGAAAATACACCTTCCTGCTACGTTACAAGGAATGAACATCGTCGATGTTGTGATTGGAAAGTTTTCTGTCTCTTTACATTTACAGTCACCAAAAGAAAATGTTATATGTGTATGTGATATACAGAAACAGACCTATAACATACAAAGGTAAACATGACTAGAATCTCCACAACACAAGATGCCAACTTATGGGAAACTCACTAAAAAAATTTAGGCACAGTATAGTCAAAAATAAATGCTATTATTAAAGTACCGGTACCTTACTATATATTTGTTATTAAGAAATGTTTCATAACTTAAAAGTAAATTTGGATATTATGATGCTTTTTTCAGTATTAATCAAAATGAGAAATTCATGCAGCTGTGAAAATTGCATATCACAGTTGTGTCAAAAAATACCTTGACCCAGGTTTATCACTGACATCATAATGTTTGAACTGAAGTTGATAATAGGTTAGCAATCACAAACATGTTTAATCCTGCTGCATTCTTTAAGTCTCTGTCCCAAGTCAGGAGGTTGTTATTCAGTGGTTATCATTGGTTACTGCTTGTCATATAAGTTTATAAATACCATTAAATGAAAATTATAATGAATGTTCAAAAATAAGAAAAAAAAAGACTCTTATAAGATTTATGCATTTTCAATTGAGATTTCTTATTTTGTAGACTTCCTGTTAACTGTTTTGTGATGTTGTCAGCACAGTCACAATTTCCACATCTAGTTGCTATGGAAACTCATCTAACTTGTATTATTCCATGTATAGAACAAGAAGAATTTGTGAGCTTGGTAATATTTGTTTGATTTTTTATTTTTTTGTGGTAGGATATAGTGGAGTATAAGATAGTGCCTATTGTAACCTCAAGTCACCACACTTAGATAAGTAACAAACTGAAATACACTATATTAAGCATTAAAACTGCATTATCTTTTTGTAAATCATACATATACAAGACTCAAACCTCCTTTTTAGTAGTGTTATACTGAGAGGCACTCTACTGGTTAAGATATTGATAAGCTGCTACGATATCAGAATGCGAGTTTTTATTTTTGCGTTACTCAAGGAGTCGCATATTATTCGCATTAATAAAAACCTCGCAATAATTTCTGAATTTTACAATAGTTAAAATGATCATGGTAAAAAAGAGGCAAAAGATACCAAAAGGACATTCAAACTCATAGGTTGTAAAACAAACTGTCAATGTCATGCATGGCAAAAAACGATCTAAAGACAAACAACAGTTTACAAAGGTTTCGTACTTACATTGCTCGTTTCATTTCCTATGAAGTGAAAATGAAATGAATATATATGAAATTTATTGTGAATTTAATTGAATCTGCTGCAGTTATATGATTCAATGATTATAAGTTATAATTTTCACGTGATGTTGATTTTTGTTATCACAAACACCTACTAATCCACTATTTAGCCATAGTACTTGTACATAGTACTTGTACAGAAATTTAATAAAAAATTCTCATATGCGTATGTTGGAAACTGAGGAAAATTCAATTTCTCTTTAAGTATTCAATATATAATTCAAGGTTTTATCTGTTGTTTTGAATTTTTTATTGCAGAAATAAATCTAGGTTCATTATTTGTGCCCTGAATAAGTTGAATAAAAAAGCATATTGGAAATTTATTGGTCATTTTTAATATTGTTGATTGATTGATTGGTAATTGCTTTATGCCACATAGGTGTAAGACAACTATTTTCAGTATTTTGAATTTGGGATAAAAGAAATAAAATAAGGTAAATTCATCAGTCCAATGGACCTGCCAATTATCCTGATTTATGGGGGATATCCCCCATGAGAGGTGCTGACCTGAATTTTAAATTCTTTATCATATAAACTGAACACCTCAAAACAGACTTTCAAATGAGTTAAAAGGTTATTTAATAGATATAAAAAGATGTGGTATGAGTGCCAATGAGACAACTCTCCATCCAGGTCAAAATTTATAAAAGTAAACCATTATACATGTAGGTCAAAGTACAGTCTTCAACACGGAGCCTTGGCTCACACCGAACAGCAAGCTATAAAGGGCCCCAAAAATTTCTAGTGTAAAACCATTCAAACGGGAAAACCAACGGTCTAATCTATATAAAAAACAAGAAACACTTATGAACCACATCAACAAACAACAACTACTGAACATTAGATTCCTGACTTAGGACAGGTGCAAACAATTGCAGCGGGTTTAAACGTTTTAATGGTACCAAACCTTCACCCTTTTTCCTGAAACAATAGTGTAACATCACAACATAGAAAGACACACTATAAAATATCAACTGAAATGGCTTAACTCAATCAAAGGACATATTAACACCAGTGAACATACACTGAACAAATAAATTTGACCTATGCTACAATGTAAATACAAAATAAATAAACTAAGGGAAGAATAATAAAAGTAACATGTTATACCGCTATGAAATGTTAAACAATTTAAGAAAAACAATATGCTCGAACAAAAATATCAGCCATTTGCAATTACTTTAAGCACAGGTAAATGAAAATAATTTTGTTGTTAGGTATACGTGTACAGTTCAAATAGAAAGAGGAAATAGTTTTACAAAATAAATAATTTTGATGTTCATAGTACGAAGTGAAAATTTATAGTAATACCAAACACTTATCAAAGCTGGTATATAGACCAGCTATAACCCTGAATAACATTAACTAACAAAAAGCATTACAATTAGTATCAACAGGTCAAATAAACAAGAAAGTACGATTTGAGAGTACTCACAGTTACTGACAGCTAGTTAAAAGCCAAAAACAATTTAAGCACATACATACTCATTCAAACAATATAGTAGTAGATTAAAAACACTTATGACAATATAAGAAGAGCATTACATGTAGGTTCTCTTGCTTTTAAAATGCCCCATTTCAGTTTGACAGCACACATAATAATAGGTTAGTTCTTTAGTTTCACCTTTAAATTAGACAGAACAGAAACATTTTGTATGGTGTGTTTTTTTTCCTTACTAATATAGATGATGGCTTATGCTGGAGCATCTGTAGCTGATGTCCTGTGTCATATCAATAAATGGGGGAGATGTTCCTTACCTTTACACACCTTAGAGATTGGTGTAAAACACAGGCAACTCGATACTGTAGTCTTCTTTCTTAAAAGTAAAGAAAATTGTAAGTAAATCTCTGGATATGGTGATCTTTTTCTTTTAAAAGCAAAAATGAAGTTAATCTATCCTAAAAGTAAGCAAACCTATTAAAAAACAATGAAGACCTATTTGAGAGTTAATTTACCATCTATGTATTTTTTCATGAATGTTTGTATCAGAACTAAATCTTGATTTTGGTTAGTAAGAAAAAACACCAGAGTTTCTGAAAGTGGAAAAGTGGAAAAGTTCATGACATTTCATTTATTATAGATATAAAAATTTTTTTTTTCTTTTTTCAGTATTTTCCTCTACAAAATCATTTGTGACATCACCGGCTTCCCCACCTGTGGCATCTCCATCCTGGTCATTCAGTTCTAACCACTATGACAACATTGTACAGTTACAACCAGCTTTAGAATTGTTAATACAGTCTATATCAGATAACCTTACAGATTCTCAGTCACAGGTACAGGAAACACACTGATACACACATAAAAAGATAAATGATATCCAGCATCTATACTACTAAAATAACGAGGTCCAATTTGTAAGCAGGCATTACGTAAAAACAGTAAAAAACAACGGATCGAAGAATTCAACTTTATATATAACTAATATAGGACAATACTGTTGATTAAAAATTACACCATTCCAGGCCCTTTTGTTTTCAACATAATTAATATTACCAATAATTAACAAGTTCAGGGTCGAATCTGATACCAATACTGATAGTATATGTCACATGTAGTTTCCAGTTGTAGAAGGAAAACCAGGATGGGTTCAAACAGAAAGATATTTAAAGCAGAGGAAACTGTGCACCTTATAATCAGCATGACTTTATCAGATGACAATACAAATACTAAAAATCCAGGCTAAAAATAAGGCGTAGGTACTTTGATTAAGTCACGGACCTGCAATTTCCCGGTTGTGTTCTAGTATTATATAGAAATAAAAAGATGTGGTATGATTGCCAATGAGACAACTGTCCACCAGTTTCAAAATGACAAAAGATAAAAGCAATAGAAGGTCACCATACGGCCTTCACAAACTAGGTTATTGTTTTAAAGAGATTAAATATGTGATTGTCATAATGTAGGGCTAATGAGTAATGTTTCAAAAGGTGAAAACTATGTATATTTTAGTTTAAACTGAAAGCTACATTGATTGACACAAAGCTTGAATTTGAAGGTATTATTATCGATCGAAATGCTACTTTCTCCATTTGTTGGGAGATAATAACACATTTCAATTTCTATGTGGATATCAAAAGATTTGTATTTCTGGACAGGAGGTTCAAATGTTTGTTTGCTAATAGACAGACAGACCGACAAATTTGCGTACTAATGTATGTACATGTGATGAGGTACATTGTGATATGCATTAAAGGCAACACATGTGAATTGAGTTTCTCAAACATTTTTTATACATGTATCAACTATCTTGAAATTACATCATGAATGAAAAAAAAACCTTTAGATTAATTTGAATGAATCAATTAACTAAAATTTATCAAAATAAATGTCTATATACTATGTTAAAAATATTTACTATAAGTTCACAAATTTTTACATGCATTTATTATTGGGATTTTTGAATAGTGAACAAAAATGTCAGATTAACTGTTGCAATTTCATGAAATACAGCATACAAATAATTCTATCAAAATTTTAAATGTGAGTTTTTATTTTTTCAAAACCTATCCTTTGGTATTTTCCCCAATAATGAAAAGATCTCAAAAATCTTAATTTACAGTTTTATTTCCACTGGTAATTATTGGTGTCTTTTTCATTGTAGGATTTTGTCAAAAGATTATCAGATATAACGCTAGAGTTTCTCTATGGCTTACTTAGTGATGCTTTAGATGTACTGGAATCTGTCAAATATAAAATGAATAATGAATCAGAAATAGAAGACATGAAAAAATCAATAGATGTAATACTGGAAGATATAGCAGACATAAGACAGTGTCTTAGACAGATAGAAAAAGAAAACAAGTTGAAAGATGGAAAGGATGAAGCGAAAAGAGTACCTGATACAGGACATGAAGCTCTAGAAAACAAATCTGTTGATGTAAGACATACAGATTTTTCAAATCAACTTTTTGCTTAGGAATTTGTTATTCTGTTTATATCAAAATAGAGTCCATTTGTGTGTCGTTTAATTCATTTGTAGAATTTGTTTAAAAGGGGACATGATTTACATTATTATTGTGTTAAAAGTAAAATAACAAAAATACTGAACTCCAAGGAAAATTCAAAATGGAAAGTCCTTTATAAAATGGCAAAATCTAAAGCTCAAACACATCAAACATTTTCACAGTTGGTCATCTTCTTCATGTTCTCTTTTTTTCTCATCTACATGGAAGACCAGTCTCCTTTTTAAATCATTTTCAGACATTTCTGCCACTAGCCTTCTTCAGTTTCTCTGCTTTATCTTTCAAATACATCATTAGATCAGTCAGTCACTGTCATGATTTGTGAAAAGTGATGTATCTACCATGTAGATGAAAGAGAAAAGAGAGAAATTTTAGAAGGTTGAATCACAAATAAAATAGTTTTCAACTGAGTACACTAAAATAATGAAGCTGAATCAACATTTTAAATAAAAGTATTAGATGGAATATCAGTGTAATATTTATATTTTGCAAAAGTTTGTATAAAGACATTTTTAAATTCCTGGTTCATCCACTCAATCAACAAAAATTAGTACCCACAAAAAATAGTTAATCTACAGTAATAAATAAGGGGAAATGGAAAGAAAAAGAAATATCAAATTGTTTTAAAAACATAAGAAAAACAAGAATTTAAAAATGAAAGAAATACATATGTTGCAAGAATTTAAAATATTTTACAAGAGGTGTATTTGAGATGACAGTAAAAAAAAGAGATACATATGAGGGTATGGATGGGGTTACAAAAAAGAGAACAATGGACAAAATATAGAGATTAAAGGGCAAAAATGATAAAGAATAGATAAAAAGGGACCAACAAAATAAAGAATAGAGAATAATGAGATGGTAAAATGTAAAGAATGTAGAATAATTGGACCCAAAAAATGCTAAAAAAACAGATTACAGATATGAAAACTAACTTTTTAGGCAGGAAGGATTAATTGTGAGAAGAAAAAAAAACAACAGTGGAATATCATTAAGTAAGGTAAAAGTGAAATGCACAAGAAATTCCATAGTATTATTAAATAAAAGATTATTAAATTACCAGATCCACATTGTTGATAAATCTAATAAATGTTATGTTTTGATTGATAATTTCTAATCTTTATGATATCCATTCATATTTGTAACAGGAAATTATACAAGACGCAGTGTTATCCAACACTATTCCAATAGTGCAAGCCAGTCTACTTGAAAAGGGAGATAACTCTAGGGCTGATATAAATCATATAACAAACAACAGTATTGTCAGAGCAGTGAAATATCTATGGGAGAAACAATCCAAACCTGCTATTGCCATTTTGTCCAACTTGGTAATTATATTCATAAAGATGGTTCTATCAGTCTTAATGCACATATTAAAAGATATAAGATTTTGAATTGAATACATTTTTAAATTATTTTAAATTTCAAAACCACCTCGGTGGTCTCGTGGTAGTGTGTTCACCTCGAGTGTAGGAGGTTGTGGGTTTGAACCCTCGCCAGGTTAAACCAAAGACTTAATTTGCTGCTTCTCTGCTAAGCATGCGGCATTAAGAAGTGAGAGCAAAGACTGGTCGGCTCAGAATCTGAATAATGTGTCTGGGTAAGGTGACATGTCTTCCTTCGGACTGTTACCTTGTGAACTAGCACGTTAAAAATCTGGCAGAGTTATTATTCATATTACATGAACTCGTCCTGAATATGCATATTAATTTGCCGCTGGACGTTAAGCAGCCATCCATCATCATCATCTTTATTATTTTCAATGATGCACAGAAATATTTTAAATCTTGTACAGTTTGGATGTACAGAAAATGTTTTATGTCCAGCGGCACTTTTCACAAAAAATCTTAAGAGTAAAAATACTCGTAAGTCATACACATTTCAGTATAACTTATGATCAATTTTAATCGTAAGATTTTTTGTGAAAAGAGTCGCAGAATTCTGGATAACTTATTTAAAGGTGTCAATCAAAACTCTCAGGTTATTTTACTAATAATTCAAGTTAAAAATGTTTACCTGGAAAATTGTAACAATGTCCAGGTATGTAATCAAAAATATGTAATCAACAATTTTACCCTAAATTAAATTTACCAACAGATTTATTGCTTTCATTTTAGGGTTTGAATGTAAATAGTAAGTTATGGGAAGTGGCTGCCATTTGTGAAGACAGGACAATACGTAACTTCATTATTGAAGAACTTACTGGTAGAAAATGTTTGACAGAGGAACAAATGGAAATTGTTAAATATGTAAATGAATTAGAAAAGAGATATCCATCATCTTCATTCAGTTCTGCTGTAAAAGATGCTAGAAAAATAGAGGTCCCATTAGACAGGTAACTTTTTATGTATATACTAGCACCAAATATTTGGTTTTGAAAGCTAAAAAAAAATAAATCAAGAAGAAGCTGTACATTTTCTATTTTTGAATATATTTGCAACATTTGAACATTTGAACATCAAGGATCACTAAAGTATAGTAGTATGGTTACCCGAATTTCCATCTTGCAGTTATACCCAAGTCTGTTTGGCTTTATTTGATGTATAAATAGGCAGCCATGTTTAGTTTGAATGAGAATATTAAATCCAATTCCCCATCTTAATACAGTTTCACATTATCTGCATCTTAAAGAACTTTGCAATAATAACATAAACGGTACCAATTTTTCTGCACCAGATGCGCATTTCGACCAATGTCTCTTCAGTGATGCTCGAGGCCAAAATATTTGAAATCCAAAGCTTATTAAAAAGATGAAGAGCTGTAAACCAAAAAAGACAAAAAAGTATAGCCAAAGCCGGGCAAGGAATCAGCTTTGCATGAGGGAGATACATTCCTTAATTTTAAATAAATTCGAAAATTTTGTAACAGCAAATTTTAATAACACAAAATTCGTATTTTCATGCCAGTACCGAAGTACTGGCTACTGGGCTGGTGATACCCTCGGGAACTATCAGTCCACCAGCAGAGGCATCGACCCAGTGGTAATTATAACATAAACGGTACCAATTTTTCTGCACCAGATGCACATTTCGACAATCAATGTCTCTTCAGTGATGCTAACTCTTTGAGAGATTTAGAAGATGACTTGTTATAAGGTCAAATATATGCCCCTATCCAACATTCCCTTTTTAAGTGGCAGTTCAAATTTCACTCACATATACCAGTCAACCCACTTTGCAGTGTCTACTTGTTAGATGTGCTGTTTATTTTGTTTTGTCTGGAACATGCATGGAATATTAATCTTGTGACATTATGCAAATAACATTCAATCAATCACAGAATTCGTATTATTTAAACTGATTCGGAGGAGTCAAATTTGAATTTCAATAGAAGTATGGAATTTATATTTGCTATCACATGTACTTCTTTTAATAGGTTAGAGAATATATTTTTGTCCTTTGGTGACTCTCCTGAGTTTGATTTGTCATTAGAATGCGATGATTTATCTGCTACAGTCTCAGAAGACCTTCAAAATACAGGAAAATACAGCCATGTGTTGCTAGACTGGGTACAAAGATGGGATCCTGATACTAAGGAACTAGTTATTATGGAAGAAGGTACTTGTTCTTTCTACTCTAAATAAGACTTTTGTTACATTTATTTTATATTACAGAATATTTACAATTACATGTATTGTAAAACAAATGGTGTAATTAGAAAGCACAACTATGAAATATTGAATTTTAGAACTTTTCATCAAGTGTTTCTATGTATACTGTTTAAAAATGTTGTTAGAATGCCACTGTTTAAAAATGTTAGTTGAATGTTACTTTTTAAACAAGAAGTTGTATGTGATGTACACCCTATACCCCTACTTTTTATGAGACACTAATAAAAAATTATACTCACATCAAAATTCAAATTACTATGGAAGAGTGACTACCTTAGAGATCTTAAAATCTCTTACAAGGTACAACTTCTACACTATAAAGATCCAAACCAAATATCAAACAGTTCCATTATACAGATGCTGAGTAATATGTAACAAAAAATTACTTTCATTATGGGTATAATAAAAATTCAAAGTATCGTCAACCATGATATGATTGCCTAGATGATTTGAAAATTGCCATCTACTTCCGCTTCTAACTCTTTAATCCGCTTGTTGAGCTGATCCCTCTTGAGTCGTTGTTTCTTTTCTTCAAGCAACTTAATTCTCAACTCCAGATCTTCATCAGACTCATGTTGCTTTAACGCATCACTCTCTTTGCTCTTTGTTTTAAGTGGCGTAGTGTAAATTAAAGCAGCGGCCTCATTTAATTTGTTCGACTCATCATCTGACATAAGGTCGAGTATATCGTCTTCCTCTGCATGAAGTTGCAACTCATCCCGATCCGAATTACTATCGGCCATTTTCTGAAATATATACTCAAATGCCATGTCATCTATACCAGAAGTTCCAAAATTATTTCATTTTTTATAGTCTACTGTCGCGACTTTTCTCTTAGGACGATCCATAATTTACGGAAATACTACATAAAAGTAACAAAAACTGTATACTGAAATTTCATCGACGACGATAAGCGTTGATAAAAATAAATTGAACAAACGACGAAATGCTCAAATTAAATAAAGATTATCACCAATTCGCTATAAACTATTATTCTTTCTGAAAAAATGAACAAACGACGAAATGCTCAAATTAAATAAAGAATATCGTTTTGTTTTGAAAAATGAACAAACGACGAAACACAATGTTCATTAACAAATTAGCTAGGCTGATAGAAGTTTCAACGACAAACTAAGACATATTTAAACATAAAAATTCTAAATTATTAAAATGTTGACTACCTGTTTTCTGGTGTTTCTGAAAAGTTAAAATCAGTAGTGAGTTCTACTTATAAACTGAAATTTTTATCCAATATAAATTACTGTACTGCGTGACCAATAAAAAACGTGTTTAAATTAAATTAGAAGTCAGCCCAAACTAAACCTTGACCAGAGATGTGTTCACTGTTAAATGAAGTGAGACCAATTGTCCATTTACCAATTCACTAAATTATTTTTCTGATTCTTCAATAATTATTCATTTTTAATCAAAAATTTACAAATTGCTAACAAGGTGAAATTCAACATTGTAAAATTCTGATCAGTTATTTGATCATTCCTTCTTTTTATGAGAGTATTATGGAACCAAAGTTTTGAATGGAAAGACCAGGTCATTGCTTATATACAAACCACTCTATGAGTGGGGGTATACAATTTAATATGAGTTCTACTCTTTCAAATACTATTTGGAGTATTAATATATAACAGTTTTATTAGAATGTTTAAAAAATGCTTTTTAAAAATATAAGAATGGAAGTGTTTAAAAAATGTTAATGATATGATATGATTTTTTTTTTTAAGTTGATAAATCTGCTCTTTTTAGATCCAAAAGAAGTTAAACTTATACATTTAAGATATCTTCTTCGTTACAACAAATTGGAAAAGCTGTTGTTATGGATACAAGGAGCAGTTGAAAAAGACTTTCCCATAATGCATCAGTTACTTGAACATTTGGATGAGTGCACATCATATATCAAACTAGTTATTACTGAAGCATGTGCAAGGTTTGTTGCTGTATTTCACAATGCAATAACATAGTATTGAATATGATAAATTTAGAATTTTAAGAAGCTCAATCACCTCCATGTGCTTTCATTACTTGAACACCTTAGGAAATTCAAATTGTAAAATGCATTGTTTCTAAGTGCACACAAATACTCTAAAAATTTGATTTTTTTTTCAACAATCATCCAAAACTAGGTCTACAGAAATAGCCAGACCTCTTCTGTCTGTCGCAAAATGTGCAGGATTTTCCATCAAATTATTAGTTGAAGTGTTCTGATATTTGATAATTTGCTATTTGATGATCTCAGAATTTTCTCTTTTATAGGATTTTGTATGATTTGGACTAATACAGTCTTTGCTCTATCACATATTATTTGCAGTTTGTATAAGCTTCTATTCTGATGTACCTTGAAAGACTGCTGTGATATTAACATAGAGCACAAGAATTGCCTAAAGTATTATTATATTTTAATTTCATTTTTTTATATTTAGAAAATTAAATGATAGGAAATGTTTTACCCAAACTATATACTCTATTGTAGGAAAGGTGTATTTTTGAAAACAGAGGAATTCAACACCCTAGTTTCTGACTTAAGATTAGTTGGAGGAGCCTTGGAACTGCCACACCCACTCAGTAACAGTACATTGGAAGAATTAGATAACTTTCACAGAGACTTCATTCAGTATTGTGTAAAGAACAACCTACCTACTGTGTGGCAATACTGTACTACACATAAGTAAGATTGTTGAAATCAACTTTTGAATTATAATTTTGGATAAAGATATATTAAATTATATTTCATTTTGATGTATAAGCAAATTTTTGGTTAAATGCTTTGGATAAAAGCTATGTGTTTAGTTTTCCCCAAAATAAGATTTTATAATATTTATTTTAGATTGTTATTTATTTAATAATCAATCTGTCAGAACTAAACCATAAATAAATATGAGTTATATTAACTAATTACATTCAACATCATTTAATGGGTTATACAAAATAAGAACACTGTGGGTTTATTTATTTTCATGGATACCAATTTTCATGGATAGAGAAATTTTTTTTGTGGCGATTTGAGTTTTGTGGATTTGTTAAAAGTGTCCTCAAGCCTATAGAAAATTAAAACTGAAGTTTGTTGTCTACCTATACCCAGTGCCACAAAATCCACGAAAAAGTGGAATCCTACAAATAGTAATGAATCCATAGTATCTGAAAATAGTTAGTAATGACATGTATATAAATTATATGTAAAACTAGTTTAAAGACTTGTGATTATAATTGGTGTTTATACTATATTTTTTTAGGTTATCTTATAGTTGGTTAAAGAAATTTATACATAGCAATGAAGAGTGTTGTTGGCTATCTATGTTAGTGTCAATGTACAGACTAAGACATAAACCAAATGGTAAATATATAAATAAGATCATCCTGAAAATGTTTTATTTTGTTGGATATTATTTGTAACTTATAATGAAATAAAAAAAATGGAAACTACAAAAAAAAGAGATATAAATCAAATGGAAAAGATCATACTGCAAGTATTTTGGTGCATTTAATTTGTAACTTATGAATAAAAAGAGGAGACCCACATGTAGCCTCTGGCTGTTGGCAATCTTCTTTAAATAAATAAAGAATTAAATAAAAAAAAAAGTTTAATAATGAAAAAAAATAATATTAGTACAAATTGAAGTCATACATGTGAAATTGTTGAATAATAAAGCATAAGTAACTTACCGATTACCCAAAGTTTGATTTAAAACTATTCTTTAGAAAATTCATTAGCCATCCCATATATGTTACTTTATAGATTGTTCTGCCATGGTTGATGCAAGCATCAGTAATGGACAACTTATATGGTCTTTAAACAAACCTGAAATTGGAGAAATCATGAAGAATGGGGAAGTTCTAACTGCCATGGCGACAGTAATGTATTCAGAGAATAAATTGCAACAGGTATATTAATTTGTATTGCTGACTTCAAGAAAGTCAGAGATGAAAGCCTATAATTTTTTTTTCATCCTATAAGTTTTACATGATGTTTGAATGAACTAAGAAGAATTAAATCCTACTAATGTCAAAATGGAGGTTAAGTTTATTATTGACAATTTTAACTTATGTTGTTCAGGAGTTATGGCCCTTAACTACTTAAACAAAGACACTAATAAATGTATTAAAACCCTGTTTTCTGTCATTTAAACAGCCTCTTGATTTTAGCTTAAAGGGAAAATTTCACGATTTTTTACTTTTCATCTTATTATGTTCATAATACCATAAAAAACATATTTACCAAGTTTTATCTGGATATGAACACTAATAAAGAAGAAAATTGGGAATTAATAATTTAATTTATTCCAACTTCCTGACTTATGTGACGTAGTTTAAGTCTTTTTGCATGCCGGGAGTGAATAAATCTCATTGTAAGTCTTGTTCGTTAATCATCTAATAACGGGATTTAAAGCGCATCGACGACTTTTGGCGTAGCTATTAACCAACTAATAATTAAGAAAGTAAAGTGATCAGCCGTGCAACTTTCAAAATTAAAATGTACGATTTAAATTTAAAGGATTTCTGATATGATTATAGTAATAAAAGTAAATCATACAATAGAATATATTTTTATGATTTTTTTTTCCGACGGATATTTTGAACAAAAATATATGACTGATATTGCTTTACAAATGCATGTTTGTATTCTCACCTGAAGGCTTTTACATCAGTCTAGCAAACATTTCCCACTAGTACTGTGTAAATACAATGTGTATTGAACTGAGACACTTAGTGACTACCTGTTGAATGCGTGGTTAACTTCAAGGTAATCAAAAGATTAGCATTCTGTAATTCTATTCTTTTGATCTTCACTCAGTGAATTTTAGCCAACACGGTTCACCATTACAGGTATGAACAACATTTTGTATGAATGATAAAAACATTAATTATTTGGGGAGGAATATGGTGGCAAAATACCTGAATCGCCGTTATAAACATGTATATCTTTTCTATTTTGCGTAAGCTTAATTTTAAAATAGATCGGTGAGTATTTTGTTGTAACATCGAAATTCTGAATTACTTTCAATTAAATAATTTTATAAATAAAAATGGCCCACGAAAACGAGCGTATAAACCAAACACTATACTTACTTTTTCAAATTATCATGGGTATTAACCTTGAATATTTCAATGTTTTAGAGAAATTTATCGCGGTTACATGATTAATATAGCTTGGTCCGTCCACAGCGATCTACATTTACCTAATCGGGAATGCCCTTATTAAAATATTTAAAATCTCACAACATATACATACTTTAGCTATTTGACCAACGATGTTTAAAAATAATAACAGAATCAATCTAACGTCAACTTTCCTTTTTTGAATGGAGACAGACCGGCGGAATCAATTTTCAATGTGCTTTATAATATCTTGTACCTTTGCAAGACTTATCATTCATTCATAAACCCACTATATACCAGAGACATATATGTCAGTCTTAACTGACAAGAATACACCTAAAGCAGACAAGCAGTATATTCTTTAAATTTCTGTGATTTAATACCAAGAAAGAAAAAAATCCCGAAATTAATTTGATACTTTGATACTCAATATTTTTCCTGGAAAATATTCACATCCTCGTTTGGTCTGAAAATAAGATAAGAATTTGGTATACAGAACATGCAGAAGTGTGAATGTAATAAAACCTTGTTATATCAGAAACCATTATAAATGTGAACCTGTATACGTAAGACCTCATGGGACGTCACCTAACCACATACATGTAATATACAAGTATACCGGAAATGTCAAGGTAAATCACTACCGATACAGAATGTACCAATGCAAAGAAAATTCTGATGATTGTGAAGCATGACCATTCAGGATTTTAGAGGAGTCTTAGGTGTAAATTGCCGGTACGATTTAAATTCTGACTAGATTTTTTTCTCTCAATTTAAATCACTGAACTTAAAAAAAAAACCTACGCCCAAGATCAGAATTCTTCTTGTAAATTCATAAATACAACGTTCTTATTTTGTAACTTTCGATATACTTCACCTCCAACCACCGCCCCCTCCCAACCTGGGAACAGAATATCTAACATTACAATGTTTGTGTACCTGCCCAAATCAAAAAAAAAAAAAAAAAGAAAAAAGAAAGAGATGAACGGTAAGTCACATCAGATTCAAATATTTATATGGTTGATTGTCGTTAACTAGAGATGTATAGTTACATGTCTCTGCGTTAACTTATAAGAATGACAGGAAAGTATATACTTGAAATAGATTTATGATGAATAATATGCAACTGCAGCACCCCTTTTTATCAAAGTGTACATGCATATATGTATTTTAATGACTGTCCATTATTTCGATTAAGAATGACAATTGTACGAGAAATTCTATAGTTGCCAGTGAGACTTTTTTTTTACCAGATATGCGACTTTTCGTATTTATATTTTCTCTTATATTACTCTCATTTAATATTTTATGCATAAGTGCAATATTAGGAATGGTTTATCCCCCTCCCTTTTAAGCTAACTAAATAAATTAATCAACCCTCTAGCTGACCAGACGTTAATACATCTACTATCAGTCTATTCGGAGTGAAGTTTCTTTATTTCTTCAAATAAGCTTTTTGGGGATCATTAGTGTACGTCCAGTGGCATATATATTACATGCAAGTCGGAACAGGAAAATTGACATGAGGTACTACCGGTATAATAGAAGAATGTAGGACAGAAAGTCACAGGACAAAAAGTCACAGACAAAAAGTCACAGCCAAAAAGTCACAGGACAAAAAGTCACAATTCAGTTTTGAGATTATATTTCTTTGAACAAGAAAACCTAATTTTAAAAATATTTTTTTTTGTTTTTTTCTTGAACTTTTATATTTGAAGCAACTTTGTTATTAAAATTTATTTAATAAATATCAATAATGATCAAATAATTGTTATGAAAACAAAAAAATGTCAAAGTGGCTTGGTACTTAAATGGCTTCATTGTGCCAAGAAATATATCCTTTGCATGATTAAAATTTAATAAGTTTTCATCGTCAAGGCTTATGAACAATTTCCTTAACTTAAAAATGAATATATGTAATAAAAATAAAATACTTCAAGATCTTTCTCTTATATATTCAAATAATTGTCAACAAATTATTTGTGACTTTATGTCCTGTGACCTTCTGTCCGTTTACCTAATAGAACCATGTTCACATTATTACATTATTATACATAATACACAACCATTGAGATGATGACGACTTTCTTAAACTGTTCAAAATAATCTAATTGAAATAAAAATCTGTGATTTTACTATGTGCATAACTTCGATGAACCAAAGCAAGTTAGAATTGACCTGTATTTAAATCAGTTTGGTTTTGGATGTTTCTCTCGTATATTCAATATACATGTATATATTCTATATTGCGACTATCTATAGTTCCATAACCTTCCATCTAGGCGTATAATCCACAGGCACTTGTCTCAGAATTTTTTTTTCTATGTACCTTAATATGTTATATTAAGGTATATAGGACACTTTTTTCTGAGACAAGTGCCTGTGGTATAATCCAATGATCGACAAGTGCATACATTTTGTTAAATCAATATTTGTACGTTTCAAAATGTCCATAATTATTGACAACGAGTAATTACTTACATTTTCCCCAATTTACGTTTGGAAAATATGTAAATATATTTTTATTTTATCAAATCTTTTTTTGGAATTATTTAGATTTTCATAAATATTCTTTACACCATAAATGTTATTTATAAACAAGCGTATGAGTTTAGTCATATATATAATGGCTATTATATCTATGGTTTAGTAAAGACTAGCATATCACTATCGGACATGCAAGACAAAGATGTATATTCACCTGATAGTTTCAAAATGGAAAGTTATAAGTTATCGGCTGTGTACACTTCTCAATACCCTCAGAGGTGAAGTGATGCACGAACTTGCTTTATGTAATTGTGTAATAAGTGTTTTAAAGCCCGACAGGAAATCGCTTGAATACCTGGACGTGTCAACTCACAATACCTCTGGGAACAATTCCTTTAGCCATGCTGGTGATCAGATAAGGGAAGGTCCGAATTTATTTAAATATGATTATTACATAAATGAATTATATTATAAACACACTAGATTTTCGAAAACATTTTTACACGGAACACTTAATTTATCACTTTTTACTTTTTAACTAATTTCCATTAAAATATCTTGTTTCAAAAACTTAGTAAAAAAAACAGTTTTAAAACGACAGACCATAGTACTAGTTATTCAAAAAAAAATATATATAATTACATTTTCCGTATCAAGTTAGTAAGGAAAGGTTGCATGCACAACCATGTCTATTATAATCTTTTTTTGTGACCCGGGAAACTGTTTAGGCTTTCCTTGTCGGGTAAAACAACCGTACACTTGACAAGATATCGACACTCAATTACGGCTACGTTAGGTTACTGCTTGTTTTGGTCCTTTGTGGTTTATAGATATATCGTGGTTTCTATTCAGGGATGATGTCAAAATGGCCGCATGCGGAGAAGTGATACTGTCTTAATTTAAAATTGATGGTGATCTCTTATCTAGCAGAATTAAACTTTAATATTTATGAATTTGTGGTTTTTTATACATAATCAACATAATATCAATTTTTCATTTTATTGCGAAGTATCCCTTTAAATCAGCTTTTTGTTTTTCTCTTTTGAACTGCTTCACATTTTGTCATGCCAGGTCATTTTATAGCTTACAATATGGTGTGTTTTGCAATTTTTAAAGACCATACAGTGTCCTATAGTTGTTTACATCCTGGTCCTTTGGTCTCTCGTGGATAGTTGTCTCATTTTTCATGCCACATGTTCTTGTATTTTGATAAAAGGCACAAATATTTTTCTGTACTGCAAAGATAAAATTAAGTCCTGCTTTTCACCAAAAAATTATAAAAAATATTTTTAGTATGCAAAAAAAGATCCTTTTGATTTCCATGTGGGACTTTATGTTTTATTTTATTTACATTTACCCCATATTTCCTTTACTAACACTTACATTCTTGTGCAGATTGTAGGAGACCAGAACAGTGCTCCAGCAATTCCAGGAATTGAGAATACAGAGCTTGAGAAAGCATTACAGATATTCCCAAAACTTCACTCTGCTTTATTCCCAGCACTGACCAAGGAATCTACACAAAATGATGTCACAATCTATCAACTGTTAATGGTATTTCATTTTATAGCTTAAGAAATCATCAAATACAAAAATTTTATAATTTTTGTGGCACCATTAATATTGCTATAAGAAAAATTCCATATAAAACTGAAACTTAATTTTCTTACCAGTCTAAGTAATATAAGTTTTTGTAAGGTATTTATTTGATAGTCTTTTCAACCAGTGTTCAGTTTGTCAATCGGATTGTAGTTGTCAAGAAATTGTCAGAATCAGTGGTAAAATAGGAGTCATCAGCTTTTAACCCACACATGTAGCATGGGTCTTCAATTCTTCGTTAAGAAGGCTTATTGCTTTTTTATGTTGCAAGAAATGGGATATTATTCTTTCTAGGATATTTATGTGTAATCATAATATTTGTTTTGATAAATATTATTCAGGATAATGCTCCATTTGATCCAAGAAAGTTATTTGGTTGGCAGCCTGTAAACACACTAGCATCAGATGGTAAGGATATAGAATGTAAAAGGACATTCTGGCATGCTTAAAACTGTTCATTAAATTCACTTATTTTAATCTACAAATAGATTGGATACAAGTTGCCAATTATTTTCTATATTTGTTTAGAAAATTTTTCTAAAATAATCACCACCCATCAAATTTTAATAGAAATTCCTTCTGTCTACCCCTTCTATACAATTAATTCTGGAACAGCCCAAAGTTCAATAGATATGCGTTTTAGTCATATTGCTATACATTTGTACTTGTATTTCTCATATATTTGTAATGAAAGAATACACAATTTTGAAGACTATATATTACAGAAAGTCCAAAAGAAATGCCTTACTTCTCTCAGCCAGATTTAGTGACTAAATATGGATATACAGAGAAAATCAGATATATGTATTACCTAAAACAAGGGAGACCATCCTTTGCTTTTGTGTCATTTCTGGCTGAAGCATATGACATGGAACCTACTGGTATAACACAACAGAGGTAATATTGAAATGCAGTTAACTTCCTGTCATGTTCTGTTATAAAGGTACTGGAAAGGGCTGAGAAATAATTTTGTGGCACCAAATTATTTGTATCGATAAAATTTTTAAAAAATTAAAAAAATTACTTTTGAAAACAAAAATAAATTACTTTCATGGTAGTTGTAATTCCAATTTGAAGCATATAGGGATTTTGCTCTTAAAAATCACCACCTTATTTATCCTTTCTCACAACCAAATATTGATGTCTGCTTACTGTAAATTCTGAAATTTTTGCAATGTTTTTATTATTGCAAAAATAGGAGCATGATACTTTTCGCAGAACTAAAAACTCCCATTTATAAATTTGATAGCATTATATTTTTTTAATGCAACATTTCCTGTAAATTCTACAACAATACCAATAAGAAATGCACAGTTAAATTTCTGAATTTACAGTATTTATTATTGAAGACACAATGACCCATTTTATTTTGGTACCAGGTAATTACTGATGTTTTGGATTGCTTATTGATTATTATCTTCCCAACAACTCCTATATGTATTATATCAAGAATTAATAATTTACTATCCAGTTGATAGAACCTATTCCTTATATTTTATTCCTTACTATTTTGTAGAATTCAAGATGCTACTAATACGGCACTGTGGATAGGAGTAAAGAATTTTTCAAATACACAGGTAGCTAGTACATGTGTGGTATTTATGGAAATGTTAGGTCAAGATACCTGTATACTAAGGACATATCTACAGGTGGGAAATGAAATTTTGTCAGACCTCAACTCAAATGTGACTGGCAATGTTGACAAGAGGAAGGAACTAGTTCAGAAGAATGAAAATGATATAGGTATTTATATAGCTTGGCCTATTATAGCTTGCTATGCAGTATGCAGTTTACTCATTGTTAAAGGCTGTAAGGTAACCCATAGTAACTAACTTCTACCTCATTTGGTCTCTGGTAGAAAGTTGTCTCATTGGCAATCATACCACATCTTTTTCCTTTTTTGTATTTTTGATTTAAGCTTTAATACTATTCCTACTATAATTCTCCTATGTTAGTAGAAATGGACTTCAATTTGAATTAAAACCTGGAATATTCAGTAAAATATATGTTTAATTATAATATCTTGTCAATAAGTTTCCAAGATATTTTTGACTAGCTCTCCTAGAGTAGTTTTGTAAAATTTCTGACCAGTTGTATAGTTTGATTTTATAAAACAAATTCTAATTGGGTCAATGTTTTTATTGAGTTGCATTAGGTGTCCTGAAACACAACAGTCAAGTCATAGTAAAAGTAACAAAGATCCATCAGACTTTTTTTGTAAGATTTACAAAAATGAAACACTCTTTCATTGATATATGGTTTCTTGACCTTAAGTATGATAATTTAAATCCCCTTATTGCACTAAAAACCTGTAGTTAGTTTTAATCTATGATGTAAGTGAAAATCTCTGTAAATATAACTGAAATTTTCTTTATTAGTGTCATGGATTTGTGCCAGTGTTTTAAGAAGAGGAAAACATGCCAAACTGTTGTTACAGAAATTAGAAGATGCAATTTTAAATAATTTAGACAAAGAAAATATCAACAGGTATTATAATATCCTACTTCTATATAAAATTATAGTAAAAATTAATGATAATTTCATAGATCCTTCCTTTCATTATCAAAGTGAAATATTTTCTACTGGACATTAAGCGAACAAAAATTTATCAATTGTATAAGTTATAGCAATGATGAGACTGCAATCTGACCACTGTTTTAAAAAACATATCAAAACATTAATGTTTAGAGGTTACTCATCTGCAGGTCACCCATTACCTGTAAATGTCAATATGGTAGTGTCACGTACAGACAAGTGATGGCTTAAGAGTCTGAACTTATACAAGAAATGACTAATACTTTAAAAAAAATAACAATTTAATATAATACAAATTTACAAATAATATAATGAAATAGCACTGTTAAATATTCAAAATTATTGTTCCTTTGTGGTTCACTACATAAAATAAAAGTCCAGATAATCTGTAGAAAGAAAATACTTCTGTTTTACACATTTGATGAGGTCTTCAACCACTCGAGAAAACTGGCCAAACATTAACGTATATGTGACTAGTGATGACTGTCCTATTGACGGCTGTTCATCATTCTCCAAATCATCCTTAGTGTTTAAACTGTTAAGTTATCATACTTAAAGCTGTTACCATCTGTTTACTACTTCAGAAACTCCATACTCTGAAATCCAGGTCTATGACTGGGGCCTATCGAAATACATAATTTACGTTGTAATATGCATATTTACTAAAGACATATACAAACGCATATTTAATAAAACATGTAGTATAAATAATGATTAATACTTAGTATGACTACTTATGTCATTATGCAATTACTACACAAAATACACGGCTATAACACTGTTTAATATGCCTACTTTGCATATTACTTGACACCCTTATGAAAATACACACTACATTGCATTATCTCAAGCAAACATGCAGAAAATACCAAATGTTTATAATATACAAGTAATGACTACAGGTGGAAGCATATAACCATTCCAAAATATTGTTATACATCATAATATTTAACTTTAATATTTCAAATATAAAATTATAATGTCGGAAATTAGAATTACAATCTAAATAAATCTCAAGTATTTGCGTTGTTGCAGAAAAGTGATTGTTTTAGCATGAATAAAACTAAATAAGTATAAACTGAATCCTACCTAAGAAATCTAGTGAGTGTCAACACCACATTGCAAACTTAAATTCAAATCATATGTACTACTGTGACCACACCTTTACTCGGCCAGGTGTTACTTGAGAATGAATAGTCAGCAATTTCAAATCATATGTACTTCTGTGACCACACCTTTACTCGGCAAGGTGTTACTTGAGAATGAATAGTCAGCTCATCAAGAACAGGTAGCTTGTGCTACTCAGCTCGTTTGACGAGTTTACAGGTAAATGCCCTCGTAAAACATGGACACTACTTAATTAAATAGATATAAAATGTGGACATACACTATACAATGAAGTCTGCCGAAAATACTATTTGTTAGAAATAACGGTTTGCAAATTGAAATAAAATTACCAATTCATCATAAGTTTAACTATACAGGTATATGTGAAGAAATAAAGTCACAGTGTGACAGTTGGCTCTAAATGGCAGTTTGCAATAATTTAGGATTATAATTTTGTGAAATATGTTACATTAGTAACATTTTACACTAGTCTTTTTGGGGTCCTTTATAGCTCGCTGTTCGGTGTGAGCCGAGGCTCCGTGTTGAAGGCCGTACTTTGACCTATAATTGTTTACTTTTTACACATTGTGACTTGGATGGATAGTTGTCTCATTGGCACTCATACCACATCTTCTTATTTATTTATACAAAACTGACCTAAATCTAAACTAGATGCCAACAAATTATATAAAAAATGAATTAAATACTTCTCTGTACTGGTTTTATGCCCCCACCGTAGCGGTGGGGGCCTTAAGTTTTACCCTTGTCCGTCTGTACGTATGTACGTCCCAAAATTGGTTTCCGTTCTCTAACTTGAGTTTGCCTCTACCAAATGTTATGAAACTTATACACAATGATTATTACAACAAAACACAGATCAAGTTTGAATTTTGGTGGCGTCACTTTAACCATTCTAGAGATATGCCCTTTATAAATGGAAAAATTGCAAAATTTTTAGTTTCCGTTCTCTAACTTAAGTTTGCCTCAACTGAATGTTATGAAACTTATACACAATACTTATTACCACAAAACACAGATCAAGTTTGAATTTTGGTGGCATCACTTTAACCGTTCTAGAGTTATGCCCCTTTATAAATGGAAAAATTGCAAAATTTTTAGTTTCCGTTCTCTAACTTAAGTTAGCCTCAACCAAATGTTATGAAACTTATACACAATGCTTATTACCACAAAACACAGATCAAGTTTGAATTTTGGTGGCATCACTTTAACCGTTCTAGAGTTATGCCCCTTTATAAATGGAAAAATTGCAAAATTTTTAGTTTCCGTTCTCTAACTTAAGTTTGCCTCAACCAAATGTTATGAAACTTATACACAATGCTTATTACTACAAAACACAGATCAAGTTTGAATTTTGGTGGCGTCACTTTAACTGTTCTAGAGTTATGGCCCTTTAAAAATGGAAAAATTGCAAAATTTTTATTTTCTTCTAAATGTCAAGTAATTTTAAAATTGGAGTTATCTTCCTTTGTCCATGATTATAGTTGAATCAACTACAATCAATGCTTTATACAATGCAATGTTTAATTTTGACTTCCAGTGATAAAACACAGATCAAGTTGAATTTGGGTAGTGTCACTTTAACCATTATTGAGTTAATATGCCCCTTTATAATTCGAAAGATTGCAAAATTTTTAGTTTCCATTCTGTAACTTAAGTTTGCCCCAACCAAACATTATGAAACCTATACACAATATTCATTACCACAAAACTAAGATCAAGTACAAATTATTTGTTTCCGTTTTCTAACTTTAGTTTGCCTCAACCTAATGTTATGAAACTTATACACAATGCTTATTACTGCATAATACAGATTAAGTACAAAATTTGGTGGCGACACTTTTACCATTCTTGAGTTATGTCCCTTTATAAACATAAAAATTGCTGAATTTTTTAGTTTCTCTCAACCAAATGTTATAAAACTTACACACAACCGTTCTAGAGTTATGCATGTTTACAAATAGAAAAATTGCTGACTTTTTTTCTCTTGTGTTCACACTGTTTAAAAAACACATAATACCATCTCAAAATACATCAAATTAACAAAGTGTTAAATATAAATTAACAGTTAGACAATTATTACACAAATTTCTAATTAATTAGAGTACTTTTTTATTATTAGAACAAGTTTTGAAGCAGGACAGAAATGGACGATAGCAGTACTATTTTGTCATCTACTACACATTCCATTGACCACAAAATATCTAGAACTGACAGCTAAGTCTGACAGATGGCTCCCATTCTTATGGTTCTCACAAATGCACCAGTATTCAAAAGAGCAGGTAGACGTGAATAAAAATCAAACATAAAATAAAAAAACAAGGGCTGTTTCATTCTATTAACTATAACTTCGACAAAATTAATTCACATGCCTTAGGTCAAGGTCCATTGACTTTCAATTAATTACCAATTTTCAATGTTAAGATAGTTTGATAGGAACAACTTATGATAGACAATAATATTTTCTATAAAGTTGCATTACTATCACTACATCTCAGTTTGTCACCCATTTTGAGGTCCTGACCCTAGGTCATGGTCTAGCACTTGGAATTAAATATCAATGTTGCTGTCCATCAGATTGTCTTTTACTGAATTTTCTGCCAACAGGTGAGAAATATCTTTGCCAACAGTTTAATGTTGATTTCATGGTTATTAATTAACCAAAAACTTAAATGTTCAGCAAAGGGCACATTTTATTTTGACTTGTATGCAGATTTTGGAAAACCAGGAAATCAAATATCCACGAAAATATATTTTTTTCTCTATTCATGAAAATTGGTATCCATGAAAATAATGAATCCACAGTTTATTGTTTTTCATTTCAGCTTCAGAGCCAGCTTTATCACTTCAAAAGTCACCATCTCCAGCAGCATTTACACTATGTCATTGAAAATGCTGAGGTCAAAGCTCAAGGGGCAAAAGTTACTGAAAAGTCACATGACAAGAAGAAAGGGAACAAAGATGTCAGATCTAATTTATATTCTAGAATTGGCTTAGCTAAGGATATCAATCAAGGTATTAAGTAATGTTTTTTTGTTTAAATATCGGGGAACATACTTGTACTTTTTAATAATCTTTCATTAGATTTTTCTACACTTGAGTTCAGCACATTTGTTGTGTGCCATGTTTTCCAACTTTACATATGACATTCATTACATGTGCATTTCTTTTAAAATTTTTGTTGTGCATGCTTCATCACTAGTGCTTCAAAGATAGTATAAAATAAATGTACGTTAATTAGTATCCTTTTATAATCCAACAAACGCATAATACAGAAAAGAATGAGCTATGAATTATTCAAATAGAATTTTTTTTTGTTCTCTAACAATGTAAAATTCTTTTACATAAAGAATAAGGTTTTTTATTTGTCATTCCAATGTTCAATAAGAGGGTTGTTTGGCTGATTTGTGATTTCATATCTTGAAAAGTAAGAAATGTAAGGCAAATTAAAGCCTATAGAATTATGCAAATGTGGAAAAGAAAAACAAATTTAATTGTGAATTTAAAAAATAATTTAGTCAGACTACAACTTGTAATTGATTTTGAAAACATGTTTACAGCTTTTCTATAAAAGCATGCAAAGCAAACCTTTGATCAACTTGCTTGCTATGTTTGTTTGGATGTTTGTAAACAACAGGTAGGTAGTCTATTTCAGTCTGTTTACTATATACTAGAATTTGATTGGACAATAAACATTAACTTCATTTAAATGTTAAGTTTCACATTGTATGTCAATTTTTATTGTCCAATCAAATACCAGTATATATTAAACAGACTGAAACTCCGCCTACCCTTTTGTTTACAAACATCCAAGCAAACATAGCAAGCAAGTCGATCAAAGGTTTGCTTTGCATGCTTTTATAGAAAAGCTGTAAGGCAATCGCATTCTTCTGCCATATGTTTTTGTTTCTTTCACTTTCTAATCAGTAGTTTTTTTGTAAGAATTTCTTCTATGATTACTAATTTTAAATAAAAACAAAACTATTAATTACAGTTTTAAGAAACAGGTTATCTATTGGTAAGAAGATGCATGATTGATCATAAGAGAAGACAAGGGAAAGATAACACACAGTTTAATGACTATTGCATTGTGGGAAATTGTTAAGACCTGTATATTTTTCACTATTTTGTTATTGTTATTAAATGCGGAAAATATCCCTATGTATAAACTTGTTCTGTAAAGAAAATTAGAACAGCAGACATGAAAAACATAAAAATAATATCTGGCCAACAGGGTTTGCACTACAAATTGCAAAATTTAAACTCCACAGAAATAAATCACTTTAAAAATTAAAACAGTAAAATTGGTACAGTTAATACTGATTTCTCAGCTCAAAGCAGCATTCTACCTGTTTCTAAGCCTTGTGCACATAAATTTTGTATATAGTTATTCTATATGTATGCTCAGTCATTGAGGGAATTTTACTGTTAGAAGAATTGCTTCATATAAAAGCAAGATTTTTAGTCTTAAAAGTTTCACATGAAATCTTAAGATGGCCATCTACATATTTTTCTCTTGTCTTCTTCTTTCTTAAAATGAATTTCAACCAAGAAGATGATCCTTGTTCTGGCATTTAGGAATGAAATATCATATATCTGACATCTTGATCTAATTCTCTGATTTATAAAGTCTGTATATAGCACAACTGCATGCATGTCATATCACCATACTTCTTTTTAACGTATTTCAGCTAACATAGGTTTTCCTTTATTTGCAAGAGTTTCATGATAAATAAATATTTTTATACATCAGGCGGATATCTTGTTTGATGTTCACAATTACTTGAATTTTCTGAAATTACAAACAAACCATTGTTAAATATGTTTGAAATATTGACCCAAAGAAAAAATCAAAAAGAATTATTATGGAATTGAAAATAGTAAAGTGGTGGTAGTCTTCAAAGTGGGAGATAATCAATGATAAGGGAAATAATCCATACGTTTTTGAATACGAATACAAATTAAAGGTCGCAGAATGTCTTAAAAAATATTTCATATCAGGTTTGCTTTCAGACAACTTATACAGCTTTATTTAAATGGTTAGAAAATATAAGCCAGAGTTGTGGCCATTTGTCTTTGCCAATACTGGCTGTATCCTCTGTCAGCATATTTTTATCTCTCCTGATTGTTCAATGTGATTCTTTTGCATTATCACAAATGTTGATAAATTAAAACTGAAAACAGGGATAAGAAAATACGAAATTTTAATGAAAATTGACTTCAACCACATCTACGTCTAGGAAACAGAGTGCAAGCTTGAAAAATTAAATATTCATGTCAGATCGATCATTTGTTATAAGAAACATATTGTAATAAAATCTTTTATTTGCCAATGCATGTGCTTTATATTTCAGGTCTCCAAAATGAATTCAAATTTGCATGTTTTTATTGAATTTGGTTGAAATTTAAAATTAATGCTGTTTATGAAATCACACATACTATAATACATATTACAATATGCCATTTATAGGTTGCACTTTGTAAATACAGCTGTTTCTCAAACCACGCCTCTTTTGGGGAGATATATAATATTCATAGATATGTTAATTTGTTAATGTACTGGTTCCCATTTATGATCTCTGTGTTTCATCTCATAGAGACATCACTTGGAAATGTAACCAGTATAGAAAAACATGGTAGCGCCTAAATTTTAATTCTTAGTAAGTCCAAATATGAAGGTAAGGGTAGTATAGAATTTTAGTATAAGTTTAAACTCTTAGAAGTTCAGGGCATATAAATGTTGAAAATATGCCGCACAGCCCTATATTTTGACCTTTGAATAAAATAGTAGTGCATATAAACTTTCCATTCTGGGATATTATTTTTCACGAAACTTCATAGTAAAAGTGTCACAGTTTTAGCCGCAAAGGGAGTTCCTATGGGAAATTGCATTGTCTATATTTACAGAATTGCAACCTATATAGGGTTAAAAAATAGAACATACAGAATTTCACAAAATCTGGTTTATCTCAGATATTTTAAAGAATTTAACTCAAATATGAAGTTTTATAAATATTTCATGAAGATTGAGAAAATCCTGAGCCTAAACTATGATGACTCAGCATAAATTCACAGTTTACAGTATGCATGGTTTACTTAAAGCCCTGAATTCAAAATAAATTCATAAAATATGCCTATTTGTGATTTAAATTGTTTAGAAGTGCTTATATTTACTCTTCGCAGTCATTGCAACTCATTGATCCTTCCTAGATAATTTTGTTGGGTTATTTTTGTCCAGTCGATAACCCAAAAGTAAGCCGTAAAACCTAAATGTGTTTTTTTGTGACCGCGGCATTAAAAAGTACAAGCTAGAATTACAAAAAGACCTCAATTAAACTTACAATAGTGTGTTCTATCCTAATATATACTAAATACTCCACATTGCTAGAAACAGGGAAAATATTTAGGAAATGTGAGGCCCCAGGGGGCAAAAAACAGAAAAAAAATGCCTACCCTGGGTAATAAAACAGATAATTTAACTTGTAAATGCTATGATTTTATTATTTTCAAGGTCTTTTGTAAACAAAACAATAACTGTGCTGGAAAGTTATGCAAAAATAAGATGTAAGCAGTCATTTCTATCAAACTTTTAGTGAATTTATGCACCAGACTGATATCTACTTAAATACAATTTTGCAAATATGGCTTTGTTTAGACACTTCTAGTTCATACATTAACTAACCTATGTTAGTTATATGGTTAGAGATGATACTGTTGTGACAAGAATTCTCAACTGACCATTTGAGACAGAAGTTGTGAACTTTCATTAACAAATAGGCATACAGTAAGATGTGGACTGGAGACACAGACAGGATTGGATACTTTGTATAATCTTGAATGTTGGAATGATTAACTACTTAACAATACATTTATAATATTTTAAAATGCTTTCAATTTGTTATCAGAATAGTTTCAAACATGTTTTAGACATTTCATGTCAGAAAACATGCACATATGGTAAGCTGGCAATGATTAAAGTCTTGTTTTCAAATTCTTTAAAAAAACTGAAATAGGGGTAGGGGTATAAAATGTACTGTAAAAGGAAACTTAGAGTATATGCAGTGATTTCCTTAAGGCAATAATTCTGATAAATAAATATTGTTGTGAGAAAAAGTGTTTTTAGAAGGTTTTCTATTTGAATAAATGTTTGTATAGGTTGCACTTTGTAAATACAGCTGTTTCTCAAACCACGCCTCTTTTGGGGAGATATATAATATTCATAGATATGTTAATTTGTTAATGTACTGGTTCCCATTTATGATCTCTGTGTTTCATCTCATAGAGACATCACTTGGGAATGTAACCAGTATAGAAAAACATGGTAGCGCCTAAATTTTAATTCTTAGTAAGTCCAAATATGAAGGTAAGGGTAGTATAGAATTTTAGTATAAGTTTAAACTCTTAGAAGTTCAGGGCATATAAATGTTGAAAATATGCTGCACAGCCCTATATTTTGACCTTTGAATAAAATAGTAGTGCATATAAACTTTCCATTCTGGGATATTATTTTTCACGAAACTTCATAGTAAAAGTGTCACAGTTTTAGCCGCAAAGGGAGTTCCTATGGGAAATTGCATTGTCTATATTTACAGAATTGCAACCTATAACTACTGTGGATTCATTTGTTTTCCAGGGTACCAATTTTCATGAATTAATACAATAAAGTATATTTGTTGGATATTTGATTTTGTGACTTTGCCAAAGATCACATACAAACCTATAAGTGTTTCTCATTTTTTGTTTTTTATATAGATTAGACCTTTGGTTTTTCAGTTTGAATGGTTTTACACTAGTCTTTTTGGTGCCCTTTATAGCTTGCTGTTCGGTGTGAGCCAAGGCTCCGTGTTGAAGGCCGTACTTTGACCTATAATTGTTTACTTTTTACACATTGTGACTTGGATGGAAAGTTGTCTCATTGGCACTCATACCACATCTTCTTATTTTTATCTATACACAATTTGTTGTTTTTTTAACATTTGAATTCGTGGTTTTTGTTTTCACAGAAAGAAGCAGTAGTGATGACGAGATAGAGATACAAGATGTCAGAAACTCCTCAACAGAAATAGATGAAACTGAACGTAAGTGCAGTCAGTTTTATTGATACACTGATGGAAGGTGTTTCATCAGCCAGCAATTAGCCAATTTAACGTTACCTCTATCAAAAAAATATGATACCCATCCCTAATCAATGTGGATCCTGATTGATTGATTGTTGGTGTTTAACACCACTTTTAACACTTTTACACATGCAGGGTTCAAAATCACAACCTCAGTATTTCCAGGCTAGTGATACAGTAGATAAACCACTAAGACCACTCGACCACCCAGGACCATGTGGATCTTGTACTTTGATTGATTGATGACTTCTTAGAACTTTGGAAATTTTACTAATGATGATTTTCTTTCACATAGATAAAAGTACCTTTACGCAAAAAAAATCTTTTATGAAACATAATTAGTGAGGACAGTTACACTACTTAAATATTACTGTTTTGTTATTTCAGAAATTTTTGTGATTGTGATTTGATTAAGAAAAAATTGTGGAGGGATTAGTTTTGCAAAAATAAAAAACTTATATTGTAAATTTTGATAGCAATTATTTGTATGCAACATCTTGTGAAATTGCAATCATTAATTTTACATATTTGTCAATTGTTCAACAATTTCAATAACAAATGCATGGACAAATATCTGAATCTACAGTATATATATCAATTGATCAGATTTAACAATTTTTTAAAGTGTCAAATAACTGGTTTATCATTGATTAGATTAGTATATTGATGATTTTTAGATATTTTCAACCAAAATATAATTACTCTATTTAACACTCAGATACTGAGCAGTTATTTACAATGTAAAAAAAATTAATGTTGCACTAAGTCTTAATGCTTTATTATTTGACAGTGATAATAAGAGATAGTGAAGCTGTGTCAGATGATTTGTTTAGTGTGGTTTTCCATGCTCAGTCGTCCAGGAGTCCATGGAAATACCTTTTAGTCAGTGGCGTTACAGTTTATAATCCAATACTCACAGAATTAGCTGTTTGTCTAGAGGTTTGTTTGTGATTGTTAGTTTTTCTTAGAAAGTATTCTTGATTCTTTTTTAAGATATTTTATTTATTTTACTCTTTAAAACATCAGTTATGGAGCAAATAATTTGAATTCAGTACTTATTGCGATGTTTTTATTAATGCAAAAAATGTGACAGGATGTTCTTTGCTGTAATAAAAACTAATATTTGTATTTATGCTTGTAATGTAATACAGCGTTATTTAAAATGACATTGATAAATTGATTGGTCGTCAGTGAGTTGCAGTCATAATTTGTGATCTTCGAAGGTCAAATCTAAGTTAATTAAATGGTGTCCAGTCCCAAAATGTTGAAACTTTTTATTATTTTTTATTATGTCATAAATCAAATTTGAGAGTTTGTGTCAATTTGGTGGACATGAATTTGGCAGCTTATGTCCATTTAACAGATATATTTTATATCAGGTTAAAAACAAATAGCAATATAACTATAGTAAAAACAATATTAAAATTGTGTGTAAGATTTTGGGAAACCTAAATTTAAATCAATTATGTAAACTTTTTCTTGTTGAGCCAAATTATATATCAAAATTCCATTTAGCAAACATATTAAACACTACTGTTTTATTAATGATAGAACATATTTGGTTGGATTGTCTAAAATGACCTGACAGATTATATTGTGCTTCACAAATCTTTTTCATGTGTTGTTTCTAATGAAGAAGCAGTATAGTTAGGAGATAACTATATTGTATTTTAAGCTTCGACGGCATCAATTAGTGATTTGATGCTGTCAGAGCTTAAAATACAATATAGTTATCTCTATTCTATTGAAACTGACAGAAAACAACGTCAAATCATACATTTAAAATCTGTCATACATCGTCTGCGCTTGCACTTACGGTTTCATAGCATCAATTGTGAAATGATGCCATGAAAATTGGGTGACGTTATCCAATCAAAATGAATATTACAAATGATGTTGCATTAAAATTGCCAGTGACAAATATTTATAGTACTTATACATTAGATAGTATAAGAATAAGAAGATGTGGTATGACTGCAAATGAGAGAACTTTCCACCAGAGACCAGATGATGCAGAATCCAGCAACCATAGGTCATCATACGGCCTTGAACAATAAATAAAACCTATAACACAGCAAGCTATAAAAGGTCCCGAAATGACAAATGTAAAACAATTCAGATGAGAAAACTAATGTCCTAATTTTTGCACAAAGCAATAAACAAAAAACAAATATGATATACAGCAACAAACAACAACCACTGAATTACAAGCTCCTGACTAGGTCTATATTGTTAAGATTAACACAGTGCATTTTATTTTTATTTGTATCAGAATGCCAGTCTGATAACCTGTATGTGTGGCTGGTTAGTTTGTATGATGAATGAACAGGAACATGACAGATTTCTAGAGGATTATGGGAAAACAATATGGAAGTGGAACATAAAAAACCTGAATCATCTGATAGAAATCTACCTTAAACATAAATGGAACAGAACTTTGAAGACATGTTTTCATATATTTCTGCCGGTAATTATTTTTACTAGCTTTTTTCTTATTTGGACAGTTTAGTGACATTTTGCTATTACATGTATAAATCTTTGCAACCATATAGTCATATATAAATCAGTGCTTACACCATAGACAAAAACTTGGACCTGTATAAACTTTCATATACTCATATTGTCTAGATAGAACAAATTTGTAAATTTTTCAAAAAAAATAGTATAAATTAGAGCTCTGACTTCATGTAAATTACATTTTCTAATTTCAATGAGTAACTGTTCCATACTTTCATTATGATCATTTGTGAACTGAAGTCTACAATCATAAAATAATTTATTTAAAGTATGGAAAGTTTATTAATTGGAATTCAACATGACAACAGGAAATTATAAGTTATTATTTTTATAAATTTTAGGATTGCACCATACTACCCTTTTTGAAGTTCTCAGCTGAATTGATAGACACTAGAGATCATACACTATGTAGAAAACATCTACAAGAGTTTAAGGAAGCTGTTTCTTGGGTATGCTTGATATTTTAGGTTTTTATTTTAAAAATTATGTTATTTTATTTTATATACAAGTTAAAAGTACTGATGATTTGGTGTTTGTTTAACCTAAATGATTTAAAATGAGAGCAATAGTACTGTGGATTCATTTATTTTCGTGGGTACCAATTTTCGTGGATTGATGAAAACCTGCATTTTCGTGGATATTTGATTTCGTGGTTTTGCCAAAGTCTGCATACAGCCCTATAGAAAATTTGCAGTTCGTTGAACATTTAAATTCGTGGTTCACCTGTACCCACGAAATCCACGAAAATTGGTATCCAACGAATAATAATGAATCCACAGTACATGTGCTACGGTACATTTACTTCAATCAACTTTCTTGTTTTATATTTTAATTGTTTTTGGTAGAATCTCATGAGAGAATTTTGCTATTTCGTTTACTGTGGTTGTCTATTAACCTTTTTTTTTTGAGTTATCAGTAGCTAAATATTTTGGAAAATTGAAGCAAAGTTGAGGTACTTCATTGATTTTTTTAAAACAATTATTTAAGAATTGAATGCTTCTTTTTGTAAATTTATTGGGGTGTTATAAAAGCATTGACTGAAGTACATTTTGTATGAAGTGCGTAAGTGCTTCATTCTAAAAATGTGCGCACGGTCAATGCTTTTACAACCCTATAAAATTACTAAAAGAAGCATTCAATACTTATAATAACATTTTTTTGCTAGGATCATGAAAACCTGATTTCTATCAAGTTTTTTTTTTATTTACCTGTGCACTGTATTGTGGAAGCTCCTGTTATCATGAATGTTACATTTCATTTTGAAATTAAGGTTAATTTCAGAATGACGTGAGATTGCTGTTAGCAAATCAAAATAACCTATTATAATGAAACATACATGTAATGAAATTATTGACAAAGGAAGATAACTCCAATTCAAAATATTCATCTTTTCTTTCCTAAATTTCTAAATATAATTTAACATTTAATTTTATGTTGACATTGCAATATTAAAGCAATCTTCACCCTTCAGTGCTCACAACCATCTTTAATATAAACATGAGGGGTGAAAGAAAACATAAATTTTCATGATATTCAGTAGTATCAATAACACTTGTTCACATATTGTATTAACAGGCAGCTTCCTCAGAGGGAAATGATTATCAGCAGAAGACAGTTTTATATGATTCTGATTGGATACAACAAACAACATACAAGATATTACTTCATCATTTTACACATACAACAAATCTCTATGATTTACATCAGCTTCTGAAAATTCTTGACACTGAAAGTGCTGTTTTGTTGTTTAAATTTGATGGTAACTATTTCTTTAATTGTAATACATGTAATATACATTGAATATTTAATGATGTTTATTTTTCTGGTCAGAGATTAACAGTTGTTTTGGGTATTCCTAATTTTGAAGTTTTTATCATTTTCTTGTGTAACCACTGAAAACACGTGTGCATGCATTTATGATTGTGATTGTTAAACAATGTACAAAATTTGGGATAAATTATTGTATGCTGCATTTAAATTTTTTCTACACCTAAACTGTCACAGTTTTGGGAATAAAAAAAAAAATCTGAAACATTTCTGAATTTACAGTATTTAAAGCTGATTTGATACATGAGATATTGGCTGATTTTCTGTACTACTGGTACTAGAAATTCACAAATTTTAACAAACAAGTTCTATTCTATTATTATGACCCTGTTCTTGGGCAGCCATAATAGACATAAAACAACTAAAGCTAAATTAGTTTTTGGGATTCTTGTCATTGCCTTGGGCCAGTACAGCTATTTTCAACCCAGTGTGACAAGAAAACTGTCCTTGGTCATCATACAGGTTCATCATGAGATCCATGATGTAATAATAATGTTGTACAATTTGTTTAGTTCCAGATTTTGGAAAACTTTCTAGACTTCTTAATATAGCAGTGAATAACCAGGTATTAGACGTAAACTTTCCACAGCTGATATCATCTAAGGATCAATTTGATACTGAATGTCAACGAGTTGTCATGGTGATGATACACCAAGGTTTCTTCCAGGCTGCTAGGGATTTATCAACAGCAGCTAAACTTAGTTCTGATCATGTGACTCTGTCTGAGGTTAGTTTGTATGGTTATGATGATGTTGATGTTGATGACATTTCACTCTTTTAAGAAAGGAAAAGTAACAGGGAAATAAGTTAGGTGTAAGTGAAACTAAATATCAGTGTTTGTTTACATTGCTATATTGCAATCACCTTGTCCTTCCGTTCCTTCAACAAAACTTTTCGTCAAGTTTTTCTGAAAAACTACGAAAATAGAGTGACTTAATAAATATTTGGTCAGCAGCTTGGCAGTGATGTGTTGTAGAGTGTAAGCACTTTTTTTTTTATCTGTTAGATATCTACTTCCTGTTTGCGGATACTTTGAACTTTTCAATTTGTTGAATAGACTTAAAATTTCCTCTCAATATTCTCCAATACTACTTAACAGAATGACTTCATATTTGGTCAGCAACTCAAAAGGGGTGAAATGTAATGTGTGTGTGCTTTTCAGATTCCTGTTTTCCAATACTGAAAATTATAAGTGACGAATGCTTAGCATACCAAGACATGCATTCTTATTTCATTTTGAATTTGGTCATTATACCGTTTATCACTTCTTAATTTTTATATTTTATTCTTATAATAACTTAGCCACAGTTATTTGTTAGATAATTACATACTTACTTTTTAGGTGAGAAACAAGAAACAGCAACTACAGAAATCATCAGTTTGGATGTCAGCAACGGCTAGAAATAAATTCTGGTTGAAATGTTCGGAAATATTCAAGAAAAACAAGGCAGAGAGTATCATATCCCAGTTTTACAAGGCATGTTACAAATAATCATTTGATGGTTCTTACAGCTCTAATCATAATGCTAGCAAGACAAAGGTTTGTTTGGCTTGCTTGCTTTGTTTGTATCAATGTTTGCTCAAGCATTGTAATTAAGATTGACATTTGAAAACAACATAAAAAGGCGGATTTAAACTTGTATATATTATATCTAAATTTGATTGGACATTATCAAATAATAAAATTTACCTATACACAGTGTTGTAAATGTGCACTTGTGGTTCCCAATTAATGATTTAATATCAGTTTTATGTTTTGAGAGTGTAAAATGTGATAATATGTATTTATAGTTTCTGTGACTTTTTAATGCACAGAAAGCGTACGTTACACTTTTAGTTATTAACTATATTATCAGTGCCAAAAATGGCGCAATTTCGTCATGTACTGTTCAAAGCGCAGCCATTTGGTAAATATTCTAAGTATGGATCCAAAACTACACAAGAAGCATAAGCTAAAGTTAATATATGCTTTATCTTAATAGATTTACCTATTTTCTTACGAAGAAAGGATCGTTTTGAGTCGAGGACTCCCATGTTTTTGTCAGCGTTTGACGTTTCATTTCTGTTCCGGCTTAGAATATTTACTTCCGGTATTTTAAAAATAAATACCAGTGCAAAGGTCAAATTCCTGAGTCTTTGCTGTTTACATTTTGGCAAATGCAAAGATCCCGGGTGGTTCCTTTAGAGGTAAGAAGCAGCGCAGATAGCTGTATGCCTCGCATGGTCTAAATTATTTACTATACACATATCGTTTGGCAATTCCTTATCCTAGTTCCAAAAACACATGCGAAATATTATTATTGAGATCAGCTCCGCCTATTTAAGCAAATTTACATGACAAATTATTTATAGACAAGTATCTTGAGAATACTTTGGAAATTACATGTTAAATATATTACGATAGTTTAGTCTGTACATTGTTGCGTTGTGCCGTAATAAATATATTATTTTACTACGAATTATTCATTTACGCTACCAATATTACCGTGGAGAACATAGGCCTGATGAAAGACAGACAACACTGTAGTTAGTCAATTTAAAGAGTTTCCGTCGTATATATTTGCTTATAACTATACAAAAACATAGCAAAAAGCAGAAATTACAACAATGGTGGCAGCAGTGGGATACTCACGTCTTCAGAACTTTGGCACGTCTATTTTTAGAAATATTAATTTATATGGAACACACTAAGTGACAAATATTGTGTTTGGAGTGCATTTAGCTCTATACATTATACTGTAATAAATAGAATATTTTGGAAAATATAGGAGTGCATTTAGCTTCTAAAATTAAGAAAATATTTATAAAGGAGGTGCATTTAGCTTCCTAGAAAGAAAAAAGAAAATATTTATTTATAAAGGAGGTGCATTTAGCTTCCTAGAAAGAAAAAAGAAAATATTTATTTATAAAGGAGGTGCATTTAGCTTCCTAGAAAAAAAAAATATTTATAAAGGAGGTGCATTTAGCTTCCTAGAAAGAAAAAAGAAAATATTTATTTATAAAGGAGGTGCATTTAGCTTCCTAGAAAAAAAAATATAAAAGGAGGTGCATTTAGCTTCCTAGCAATTATTTAATAGAGAAATAGAGGTGCATTTAGCTTCTACTATCTTTAAATAAGGGAATAAGTATTTCCATTGCCGTATTTTGGGGAAATAACTAGGAGGGTACCATGGATCTTAGAAATAGAAAAATTCCAGCTCCTAATTTTGGAAAGGGGGGAAGGAATATAATTATTACACAGAAGGAAAATATAGAATCAGGTAATTTGATAGACCTAGGTACGGAAGAAATAGACAATATGTCAATCTCAAGTCCATCCAGTCCAATGGTAAGTCCTATACACACACCCCAACACAATAACTATACCAGTGTGTATCAGGAAAATATTGAATCAAGTACAAGCTTGCCAGGCACTGATATTACGGCCATTCTAATGGACATTCAAAGACAATTGAAAAATCAAAATGATAATTTTTCTGAGTTGAGCACGCAAGTTTCTGAGATGAGTACGCAAGTTAAGTTAAATCAGGAAAATATAGCGCAACTGGTAAGGGGTAACCATGTGGCTGAAAATAACGCCAATATGCATGACTTCAGTCAAAATAGCTGTTTAGACTTTAATAGTACATCCATTGAACAACATAACCAGGTATTAACAGCCCCTCAGCTAGCAGCTAATACGAGTAATAATAACCCTTATACATCATGTCCAGTTAGCACAAATCCTATAAGAGTAAGTAGTCATGTTCAGCAACTGCAAAAGGAAGAACCAAAACCTAGAAGCCCATTCTTTAATGGTAAGGGAGATTTCAAGGCCTTCTGGACACAGTTTAGGCTATTGAGTAGTAGATTCAAATGGTCCAGCGACAGACAAGTGGAGGAGCTCATTTTAAATAGTCTTAGAGATGACGCCTTGGTATTCGTAAATGAGCTTCCTGCTTCCTTGCACAGAGACATACAACAAATACATGATGCAATGTCTCAGAGATTTGGGGATCACATTTTACCAGAGACGTATAGGACCAATTTGCAGTTTATCAAACAGGGTCAGAAAGAAAGCATACAAGAATATGCAACTCGTGTGGAGGGACTAGTTGGTAAGGCATACCCTGAAGTAAATGATTTAAGTTTGCTGGACCGTTTCAAAACGGAACACTTTATTAAAGGTCTGCCAGACCAATCAGTAGCGTATGAGGTTCTCATACAAAAGCCAGTATCCTTGCAAGAGGCAATTAATCAAGTTTCATGGCTCGAATGTTGCAGGAAGAATGTTGGGAAAAAATACGAAGTAAGACAGGTAAACGCGGGTGATGACGTTGCAGGCCAGGAAGTAACTGAAACCTTGCAGGTATGCAGGACGCAAGATCAGTATGTTACTCATTCTGAGTTAAAATCTGGATTAGATGAGTTGCGAAAAGAACACCAGGTTGCAATTAAAGAGGTAAAACAAGGTCAACAGGAAATATTAAATGTCCTAAAATCTGAGAAAAAAGGAAATGGTAATTTTAACCGAGACTCTGGGGGATATTATAATAAAATAAATGGCAAAAATTCACCAAATAATAACTCATTTATTTGCTATTCCTGTAATCAAGAGGGGCACATAAGAAGAAACTGTCCATTTAGAGGGAATAGGGATAGAAAGTGGAACAATAGAGATCAGTCACAATTGGCTATGCAAAATCAGACGAATTCATTAAATTACAGTGGGCTGGGTCTGTTGGCCAAGTCTCAGCCCAAGTAAGTGAGTGTGACAGGAGTTTAGAGATTAAAGGGGATAACAGTAAAAAAGATAAACAAGAATATAAAGAAATTAAAAATTTAGAGACCCTAAATACCTTGACCTTGCCTAATAATGATGGTTATATTAAGAAATCAGACACAATTGACATAGAGCATTTTGATGGCTCAGAAGAGGACACAGAGTTTGAGGTAGTTATTGATAGAGTTAGTGCAGTTACGATAAAGGCTCCATTGTCTATAGGAGGCCAGCCAGTAAAAGCTGTTATAGATACAGGGGCAGAGGTAACTGTAATCAATGAGTCCTTACTGGATAGATTTTCTGAAGAGACAAGACCTACACTCCAAAAGGCGAAAAGGAGTTTAGTTGTTGCCGAAGCAGGAAAGAAAATGAAAACACAAGGAGTTGCTGTAGTAGATATAGTAATTGGAGACTTGTCATTTCCTTGGGAGGTTTACGTTGCCTCAATAAGAGATGATGTTTTATTAGGGTGTGATATCATAGATGAATTTGATATCACCATCAATACCAGACGGGGTATAGAGGTGGGGGGTACATGGGTTGATTGTGAAGTTATGTGCAGGTCTGATAATATCTCAAGAATTTTTGTAAGCGAGTCCATAACAATTCCAGCAAACAGTGAGGTTATACTTGAGGATAAAGGTCACCAATCTGAATTGATTGACACTAGATACGCAAGTGTGGAGCCATGTAATGAAGAGGCCAGTAACATTTTAATTGCCCGCTGTCTTGTGGATCCCTTTAATGATAAAATTCCAGTAAGGGTGGCAAATTTGGAGAATTTTCCCGTAAAATTGAAGAAGAATGTTCTTTTGGGGGAAATGCATCCTGTTATTGACTTTGAGCAAGTGGTTGAGCTTGATAAGGATGCGGAGTTATGTAATGATAGAAATTCCCGGTTGGTAAATAGAGTTTGTTCGTCTGACATATGCAATCTGAGAGATGAAAAAGGGGACTTTTCTTGCCCTAGAATACCTTATCAATGGAAGAGTCCGGCTCCAAAAATCCAACAAGTCTATACAGGTGATGATATTAAGGGGGCTGATAGCCTGGAGAATAAGGCCAAAATTCCCAAGCTACCAGACTACCTTAATGATCTATATGAGAAGAGTTGTGAGAATGTTAAAGATGAGGTTTTTAAATAAAAATTAGCTGAAGTTCTTATAAAAAATCAACAAGCTTTTGCTAAAAACAAGCTGAACTGGGCACATGCTCAATCGTGAAACATCGCATTAATACGGGAAATGCAATCCCAGTTCGACAACCGCTTAGGAGAACTCCAAAGGCTTTTGAGGGGGAGGAAGAGAAATACCTTAAGGACCAACTTGAGGCAGGTGTAATAACTCCTTCTAAGTCTAGTTGGGCTAGCCTAGTGGTGTTAGTCCGGAAGAAAGACAAAACAGTACGCTGGTTCATAGATTTTAGACGAGTCAACGCGTAAGTGTCAAAGATGCATACCCGTTGCCCCGCATTGATATGTGTCTTGACTGTTTGGCGTCGGCGTCAATATTTTCTGTCATGGACCTACAAAGTGGTTATTGGCAAGTTGAAATTGAGGAGGCTGATAGAGAAAAAACTGTATTTACAACTAAATATGGATTATTTGAATATGTTAAAATGCCCTTTGGGTTATGTAACGCCCCTAGTACTTTTCAACGATGCGTAGAGTTGATATTTAGAGGTCTTCAATGGAAAAGCCTTCTTATTTATATTGA